TCAAATCTCATCCGATTTTCACGAAGTATGGCTTTTTCTTCATGGTTTTCCCTCTAGATTAATCTGGCATTCAAATCTGAACATCGATTTTTAGTCGAAATTCATGTCCAAATCTTACCCCAAGATTCGTATATAGACATGGGTCAAAAATAACCTACCCCATAACTCGGTCAAATCGTATCAGATTTCCACGAAGTTTGAATTTTTCTTCATGGTTTTCCCTCTATATTAATCTGGGATTCAAATCTGAACACAGATTATTTAGTCGAAATGCATGTCCAAATCTTACCCCAAGATTCGTATATAATAAGTCAAAAATGACCACCCCCATATCTCGGCCAAATCTCATCCGATTTCCACTAAGTTTGGCTTTTTCTTTATAGTTTTCCCTTTAGATTAATCTTGCATTCAAATCTCGACACCGATTTTTAGTCGAAATTCATGTCCAAATCTTACCCCAGATTCGTATATAGATATGGGTGAACATTTACCACCCCCATATCTCGGTCAAATCTCATCCGATTTTCACGAAGTATGGCTTTTTCTTCATGGTTTTCCCTCTAGATTAATCTGGCATTCAAATCTGAACATCGATTTTTAGTCGAAATTCATGTCCAAATCTTACCCCAAGATTCGTATATAGACATGGGTCAAAAATAACCTACCCCATAACTCGGTCAAATCGTATCAGATTTCCACGAAGTTTGAATTTTTCTTCATGGTTTTCCCTCTATATTAATCTGGGATTCAAATCTGAACACCGATTATTTAGTCGAAATGCATGTCCAAATCTTACCCCAAGATTCGTATATAATAAGTCAAAAATGACCACCCCCATATCTCGGCCAAATCTCATCCGATTTCCACTAAGTTTGGCTTTTTCTTTATAGTTTTCCCTTTAGATTAATCTTGCATTCAAATCTCGACACCGATTTTTAGTCGAAATTCATGTCCAAATCTTACCCCAGATTCGTATATAGACATGGGTCAAAAAATACCACCCCATAACTCGGTGAAATCTCATCCGATTTCTACGAGTTTGGATTTTTCTTCATGGTTTTCCCTCTAGATTAATCTGGCATTCAAATATGAACAGCGATTTTTTAGTCGAAATTCATGTCCAAATCTTACCCCAAAATTCGTATATAGACATGGCCCCATATCTCGGCCAAATCTCATCCGATTTTCACGAAGTTTGGCTTTTTATACCCTGAACCCATTAAAAATGGGTATAAGGGTATATTGTATTTGTGCAAACTACAAATGTATGTAACAGGCAGAAGGAAGCAACTCTCCCCCATAAAGTATATATATTCTTGATCAGCATAAATAGTTGAGTCGCTCTAGCCATGTCCGTCTGTCTGCCCGTCCGTCCGTCCGTCCATCCGTCCGTCCGTATGTATGAACGCAAGGATCTCAGAACCTATAAGAGCTAGAAATTAAAATTTTAGATGTAGATGCTCCTAGTTCCCGCGCAGATCGAGTGTGTTTCCGATAATCAATAACTTACTCCGTTTCCAAGCAATCGATAAAAATCGATATCGATATCCTGTTTTTTGGGCAATTTTGGTATATAATAAGAACTAGAGTCACCAAACTTGACATATAGCTTCTAAAATAGAATATATATATGCATTTGATGTTGGAAGAAGAGGGTTCAGGGTATCCCCTAGTCGTGAGCTCCCGACTAGAACCTTGTTTTTTTTCAATTCAAGCTGAATAAAATGAAAAAAATATAAGTGTAAAGCCGAATGTTTTCTCTTTCTGCGGCTGCACGAAATTCCAAAGCAAAAAGTGCAAAAAGTGAAAAAACAAGATCAAAATTCTTTCAACCGAACACCGAAGTGCATATGCCTTTCCATTGATTTAAGGTCGGTGTGGAACTACTGGAGGGGTTTGCATTTTGATTGACGGCTGATTTGAGTTGCAGTTGGCCTAGTTGCGTTTTGGTATTGGCCAGTTTGCTGCAGTTGGCTGAAATCCGTGACGTCAGCTAAGGATCTCCGAATTGGCGTAGGGCAAAACACAACAACCAGCATAAGGCCAAATAATCACAATAAATGTTGAAAAGCCCCGCTGCAGCGTCGGGAAAATTGAATGGAAATGCTTTGCAGCCGTCCAGAATCCTGTTCTTTGCTTCCAGGCTGGGGTTTAAGTATTTAAAACAGCGTTTCGCATCAGCAAGAAGCAATTCCGGGCCATTAGCTAATTAGACTTTTGACGGCAGGTTGTTTTTTTGTGTTTGCAGAAATGCTGCGAGCCTCAAATCTCAGGCACACACAAAGGAAACCGCCTTTGCGGAGTATTAATATAACTAACATATCTCTATATATAAAACTGTTTGTCCTGACTGAATGACGACTGATTGGCTTACAACAGCCCAAGCCGTTAGATCTAGAAAGCTGAGATTTTCCCTGTTGTTCCCTTGTGTTAGACGGGGTTTCGGGAAATACCACCCCAATGGAGAAATCGGCTCCGATCGATTTAAAGCTCAGTTTCAATCGTGCCACGGGCAAAGCCGGGCTATACATGATATTATCCTTTATGGACATAAGTCGAAAATTCCCACCCTCCTAACTCGGTCAAATCTCATCCGATTTTAACGAGATATGCCTCTTCGTGGGCCTCTAGATCAATTTGGCATCTAAATCTGGAAACATAATTCTAGGTCGAAATTCATGTGAAAATAATACCCTCAAATATCCTATACAATTTTATCCAATCCTATATAATTTTATCCATGGTCAACACAACAATACGACAATAACAACACAATTGTCGGATCGCCAGAATGTGACTTTAGTTTTATAATTAATATATAATTAGTTTCTGATTCGGCATTCGGTAGATCCATCAAGTGCAAGTGCAGCAATCTGCATAATCCCCACAACAGCGCTAAACCAAGCACTCGCTCTAGGCTGGGCCTACCCAGCTGACCCGTCGCCTATCTGTATAGCGAGGGGCCGCCAAATGCTACCGAGTTTAGTAATTTCGTCGATTGCAACAAGGAGACGTGCTAGCAGCGGCAGCACGCGACAGCTTATAAGGAAGTTTCCCATTACTCCGATTTTTCAATAGGTTCTAAGCCCCGCTTACCCCCAGCCCACGCCCCCGCCCCTACGGCCAACTTAGTTCTAACAATAACGAAAAAAGAAGCATTCTCACCGGTTTGTCTGCTGCACACGTTGCAAATGTGTCGCTGTGATTATCAATTTGGATGGGACACAATTTTTCGTCGTAAAGCGTTAATATACCTATTAATTTTGTTTTAACACAAGCCGTAATCACAGTTTTGTTGTACATAAGTTGAATTTAAGCGTGCGTCATATTCGCGTATGCGTATTTATAACTCGTTAACTGCAGAGCAAATTAAATCCGATTAATATTCTAAAGGGGTTTTTATTTTTCTTATTCACTTTATAATTTTTGATATGTTCACCAATTTCTTCTTCTTCTGCCTCTTTTCCGCGGCTTAACTAATGATGGCGATAAGTTATCGATAGGTTATACCAGCCACGCTTCGCTATCGAACTTGTCATTTGTTATATTTTTCATATTTTTAGTATTTTTCAAGCTTCGTTCACAATAGCGTCCATGCAGCTGTTAATCCATTGTGTAATGGTCGCGCGGCGTGATTCAATTTTTAAAAATATAAGAGCTGCCATATACTAGCATGTATATTTGTATTTTAATATGCATTGTTTACTTTTATTAATGAACACAATTCTTTGGAAACGAAAAGAAAATCCAAAACAACTAAAATACAATGTACAATTTAAACTTTTTTTCCATTAATGCTCGCCAGCTGTTTCCGGTTAAGCTGATCGAAGAATAGCAAGCCTGCTGCTCGCTCCACCGTCTCGGGCGGCACTTGGAACACCTGCAGCGGGGTATCGTTGCTAATCACTTGGTTGGGCATCACATATGCCTCCATGTGCAGCCTCTGGTCCGTCGCCTCACCCACAATCACCTTGTAAAAATGCGTGGGCACAGCCACCGTATTGGCACCGATCACCTCGTATTTGATATATGTCTTGCCGTCGTTCTCCTTATGCGGCAGGTATAGCGGGCCCGTGCAGACGTAGACATTGCTGTAGATGTTCGTGAGTTTGCGCACATGAATCTCAAGATTGTTCCAGGCATCACGATTGAAGCCCTGGCCCACCTGTGGCGCCATGTTGGACAGCAGAAAGGTGTCGTCGCAGTGCTTCTGATGCAGTCGATGGTTGCCCGCTGCCGCCATGTGGCCACGATCGTAGCCGGAGCGCCGGTAGTCGGTGTTTTGCGCGCGAAAATAGGGATGGATGCTCTCATCCGGCCTAAAGTCACATTTGGCGCGATCCACTTGGTCATTCTTGGCCACAGATTCTGCAGTCAGATGCTCGAACACCCAGTGGGGCACACGATTGCGTCTGTCATAGGAGAGCACATAGTCCGAGTGGGAACGGACATTATCTAGGCCGGGAAAACCATACTTCATGATCTGTGCTATGCGTGAGGGCTGGGCGGTCAGGTTTACCTCGTTTGCGGGCATCAGCGTGGCGGCAGAAACAGTTCCAAACACTGGAAGTCCAGGTAGACGTGGTAGTTTGCGGTGTTCATATTCATTGTTGCCGCTCTGATGGCGTTCTGTATATGAACCCAGATAGAAGGCGCCAAGGGCTGTGGCGCCGATTGCAAGGATGCTTTTCACTTTTAAGCGGCTCATTTTTAAATATTGTTTTATTTATAATATTTACAAAAGATTAGCATGCCGTGTGGCAATTGCACAATTTCCCATTGTCAGCTGTTTGAAAGCCAGTGTGAACGTAGATGACAGTTTAAATAATACCAAAAAAATAGCATGTGAAAATACCAAGTTTCTAGTATATTTGCTTGGTAATTTAGCGCCTTATTAGTTTAACCGCGAAAAAGCAGCTAATCAAGTTTTACAGTAATTTAAAGTGTACAATAAGAAAAATTAAAGTAGTTTCAATAGAATGTCGATCGAATTTCAACCGCTCCGCAGTTAACTAGTTTTATTTATTAATACACATATATTTCTACATACATGTACATAAAGTACGTTTAAATTCAACTTAAAGTACAAGATTTATCGCCAGCACGAACCTGTGATTAACGTTATATGTAAAAAGAAAAATTAATAAGTTAATTGGTTTTTTACGACGGAAAATTGTATCCAATCTCATTGAAAATCACAACGACACATTTGCAACGTGGGCAGCAGACAAACCGGTGAGAATGCTTCTTTTTTTCGTCATTGTTAGAACTAAGTTAGTCGAAGGGGCGGGGGCGTGGGCTGGGGGCAAGAGCGGGACTTAGAACCTATCGGAAAATCTGATTAATGGGAAACTACTTAATAAGCTGTCGCGTGCTGCCGCTGCTAGCACGTCTCCTTGTTGCAATCGACGAAATTACTAAACTCGGTAGCATTTGGCGGCCCCTCGCTATACAGATAGGTGACGGGCCAGAGCCGGGCGGCCGCAAAGTCGCTGAGACTCTGCAGGCCGCCGGGCCGCGGCGGATGCTGTGTGTATTCGCTGCTCGCCGCTGTCGCCTGCTGATGCTTCGGTTTTTGTTTGCTGCCGCTGAGCAGGCCCAGGCTCGAGTGGGTGCTTGGCTTGGTGTTGTTGCTGCCGGGAAAGTAACGATCGCTGCACTTGCGCCACTGATCCGCCTCGTCGCCCACAAAGCACCTGGTCGGGTCCAGAAATGTTAGCTTTGGCACTCGCTCAAAAGTTCATGGACACTTACCAGGGATAGTCGAAGCCGCGACTGTAGCCACAGGGATGATCCGTTTTGCAGCAATAGTCCCAGGAGCCAATTTCGGAGCCATCCGTTTCGCAGGAATAGAAACCAGTTATGAGATTCTTCTCGCAGGGACTGCTGCGTCGACAGGGCTTGCCGGAGACCGTATAGTGGCGCCAGGCAACGTCGCCTTCCGAATAAAAAGTTAGTTATGGATTGGAAACCCCTTTTGTGCATGCGCAACACTTAGTTAGTATTAGGGGAGGGGGTACTTGGATTCGTCTTGGTTATGGGGGTACATGGGTACTACTGTACAGGTAGACGTTATTTGTATGTACATTCTGCGCCGTATTACAAACTAATTATATTTTATATATATATAAAACTAATGCTACTTTTTGGGTTATACACATATTTGGATTGGTCAACCGCTGGTTATTTACACAATGATGGACGTGCAACAGGTTAAGATAGTCAGTTTACCCGGTTCCCGGAATATGTCCATGCGTCTATCGTTATTAACACGCGATCCGCCAATTGTGTTGACCTTGTCGCGGCATGTCCAATCGAATGGATTCCAGGCGAATAGCCAGTAATCGCGCTCCTTGGTGTGCGTATAGTGCACATCCAGTTTGAGCTCCGTCTGATCCAGATCGGACATTTCGCAATTGAAGGAACTAGCCTGAGCGCTGCAGTTTAAATACTTAGTGGGGTGAAAGGTTGGTTCAAGAGCGACAGACTTACCCGTAGCTAAAGGCGTAGCACTTGAAGGGCGTCGTTTCTCGGAAGCGTATGCATTCCTTTTTGCAGGCCATTTCCGAGGGCACAGAGATGACCTTCTTGATAGCCGGGGGTAACAGGCGCGCCGGCGAGCCATAGCCCAGATAGCACACTGAAAAGAAAAAGAAAATCTAGTCAGATCTGGTGGGAAGGCTTCTCGAGCTGGTCTACGAACGTTTCTTGTGCTTCTCATCCATAATGGGCTGTATTTCACAGCCATGTCCATAGCTGGCGCGCTCAAAGATATCAAAGGCAGCATCCAGGATCAGATGCCGTTCCTTGTCCATATCTCGGACCGGCCAATCGCTCAGCTGACAGTTATCAATGACGCCCGCATGCCTCTGCTGGCCATAGCGAAAGGCGAAGGCGCGACACGTGAACTTGGTCGAGCGGATGCACTCCATCTCGCACTCGCCGACAGAGCGCACAGTAAGCGAATCCCGCACAATGGACTTGAAAAAGCGCGTGGCATCAATGGCGCGGAAGAAGCATTCTGTAAACGACAACATAGGGTTGGAGCAATAGTTTCAACAGCTGCCCGCCCAAACTCACGTGCATTGCGCGGATCGGAGAGTGCAGTGCTGGGTCCATCGCTACGCCGTGGCGGCGGCGACGGCGACCTGCACACGTCCATATCATCCGCCATGGAATAGATATCATAATCCCGATCCGGCTCTATGTCCACATAATAGTCCAGCATATTGACGGGCCTGTCGCAGAGCATGCAATTATCGCGGCCCGCCTGGTTGTACCGATAGCTGAACGTGTGGCATATGAAGCTCGGTCGCTGATCCGAGCACAAACGCTCGCATTCCGTCAGTGTGGGCACATTGAAGGCATGCTTCACGGCGGTCTTGTGCAGCCGAAAGCCTTCGCTGGTCTTAGCGGAGCATTCTAATGGGCGGGACATAGAAAGATTATGTTGCAAGCCTTGTGCTCCTCCTCAGTTGCTTACCATCTGGTCCGGGTCGTCTGGTCCACTGTTGTCTGTAGTCGTTGCGCAAGCGTGGATAGTCCTGGTCATAGCTGGAGCCGGGATAACGTAGCACCGCATTCGACTCACGTGGTGGCTCTCGGTGGTGCGTTGAGCCCAGCTCAAAATAGTTGAAATCGTGCTGATCCTTGCGACGCTGCGATTCATAGAAGCTGTGCTTGCTATTTCCGCCGCCATAGTTGCCCAGTTGCTCCTCCGCGCCAATCAAGTAGGGCACAAACTTGTTGGGCTTCTTATAAGACACACTAGCGGGTCCCGGGCCGGAGCCGGGACCATCGCGATCCAGGTAGTTGTGGGCAAGACCTGTTGCTGGTGGACCGGCGGGCGCCGGCCGACTAGGCTCGTGTGGGCGATACGGCGAATAGTCGTGGCCAGGACGATACGAAGGTCTGTATTTGTCGATGCGATCCGTTTCAGGACGCGGCGGCCTATACGCCGAGCTGTCATAACCCGAGCTGCTGGGCAGCGTTTCCCAGCGATCGGGCCTATAACGCGACGGCGGCTCGGGACGCGCATAATCATGCCGATCAATGTAATCAGGTCGCGAATGATCGCCAAAGCTGCTCGGCGGCGTGTGGCCAAAGTAGCCGGAGCCGGAGCCGCTGCCATGCGAGGAGAACTCGTATGAGGAAGACGCCGAGCTGGAGGAATGCGAGCTGTGATAGTCCGTGGAAAAGGGTCGATGCTCGTAGGAACTGCTGGATGGTCCCGACGGACCGCGATAATGATCCACAGCTGTGCTGCTGTGTGGCGGCTGCGGACGATAATGATCACGATCACGATCCCGATCACGTTCACGATCACGTTCCCGATCGCCGCCATAGCCGCCGCCGCTGCTGGGCCCGGGTGGATAGCTGCCACTGCTGCTGGGCTTAAAGTAAATGGGATTGCTGCTGATGGGCCCCTTGGAGCAGTCCTGGCAGGCGCTGCGTCGACAGCTGCTGGGCGCATTGCGATCCCGCTCATAATAATCATAGTCCGGATGCCGCAGCATATTCGAATCGCGTCGATTGGCGCTGGAATACAGATCCATTTGGGACAGCGGCAGCTCAATCAGCTCACAATCGCCCTGGCCATGTCCGGAAGGATCCAGGCGATAGTTAAAGCCCTCGCACATGAAGCGCTTCTCGTGGCCGCATTCGCGCATACAATCCTCGACACGCTCACAGGATATGGAGCGACGCACCCAATGCGGCGCGATACGCTTGCCGGCCAGCACACGCCGGAAGCAGGCTGCAACAAGGAGAAGATGTGAAGATGCAGCAAAACAAGTGAAGCAATCGACGCCGCCGTCGCCTCCGCTCAAAGCAACAAACAAAAAAAAAAATACAAAAACGACCTGCTCATAAGCTGTAAAAGCTGAAGTCAGTGAAGCGCGGAGCCAGCAGAACCCCCAAGATCGGCTGCTTCATGTTGCTACATGTTTTTCTTATAGTTTTTCTTTTTCATTATTTGTTTTTTTTTTTTGTGCTGCTGCCATCACATCCGCTGCTGCTGCTAAATTATGTTCGAGTCATGTTTTTGCGACATGCCCCGCAACCCGCCTCCCCCCTGGCTGGCACAAGGCCTTTTGCTCAGATAATCTCTGGAAAATTGGGCTTGAGTGGCAGTTCTTTTGCTTTGAAAAATTATGCAAATTACTTTAAATACGCACCAAACGCGTCTTCTGGGCCAGTGCATTGACCGAGTTGGTGTCTGTTCACGTCTGTCCCTTACCTTTGGCATCCTCCACAATGATAATTGTGCTGCTTATGTCGCTGCCGCCGCTGCTGTGTCGCGTAGGACTCACAAATTTGGCGCTGCCGCCGGAGCTGCCCCAAAGCAGCAGCAGCAGTAGCCAAAGCAGCCAAGGCAGCGGCTTGTCGACTGTTTGCAAACGCATTGAATCGCGTTCAGCGAAGCACTAAATGCACAGATATCAAATTTGTATATAATCCAGCTGGGCTTTTAATTCTATTATTATTTTCATTTATTTGATGTGCTCACTGATTACGTAAGCGCGTGTTTTTATTTTTATTTTATTTAAATTCTTTTTATCGCATTTGAATGTCAATTGCGTGAAAACGCAGGCGCAGCAGCCATTAAATAGCCCACATACACACACAGACACGCACTCACTCACACAAGCACAAGCACACGCAACAGGATATACGTAAACGCGTCTATTTCCGGCGAGCTGCGACGCGCTGCGTTGGCGTTTCTAATGGCGACTGAGCGGCTGCTGTGGTCAAGCTTGCGGTTTTATACACGGTATTAGAAAAACGCCCGCGCGCGTTTTTCACAGCGCACAAATTTTGAGCTTTTCTGCGGTGGGAGCTTTTTTTTTTTTGGTCTGCGATTTGTTCTCTGCCTCTCGCTTATGTTGCTGATTATTATGATGATGCCAACGGGGCGTCGTCGTCTTTGAAGCCTTGAGACACGCTTTTAATGAGTACTTTTCGGGGCTGCAGATTTCTTATCTTTGATTCAGATGAAAATACGAGGGCAATTGGCTAGTACCTTCTGGCCAACAGCAGCGTGTGAAGCAGTCAAGCATTAACCGACGTCACTCAAGGATGCCGCAAGTGAATGCTGCTTGGAAAATTCAACGAAAATTTCTTGGAAATTTCGCTTTGAAAATGTCATAAAATATTTGACTATATTCTATCGTAAAGGTTTTCTAGGAAATTATATGCTATGGTTCTACTATATATCAATAAACAGAAAATTAGCATATATATATATATATATTAGTTTAGTAAATTTGAGCTACATTTTTTAAGGGATCAATAATATATGCCGACTACTGAACGGGAAACTTGATACAATATATCATCTCTTCAGTACAGCTACTTTGTATCAAACTATTAGTTTTTCATGGGAGCGAAAAATATTGTGGAGATTTTCACGGGAGTTGGCCAGGCTCAATCCTCGAATACATTGGGCTGATCGGCACATCAGTTATTTAAGTGGGCAACATAACAACAAGAAGCTAGTTTCCAATTCCTACTTTATGGATGTTGTGCTATCCTTGCAGTAGGGCATATTAGCCAAGGTTATCTAAAAAAGTTAAGTTGATAGCTCGTAACTACATATTTGTAATAACAATAATGAAGTATAGTTTCTTGCTCACGTTTGCTGTCCAAATCTCTTTCAGCTCTATATAAACTTTTGTGTTCATATTCCGCAATCTCTTTTTCAATACATTATAATTTATCTATCCTATCAAACCTATCATCTCTTTAACTGAACTTTAAGAGTTTAGCTAAAACAAAGTCAAACTGCAAATCAAGTGTGTTGCCTAAGTCTTTTGTATTCCTTGGCAGCGCCTGCTGCCTGTTGCATAAAGTTGTAGAGTCTTGAGGCCACTTTTAGATAACATCTAGTAGCATATGTCAACGATTATACCAATGTTTTTAAATCTAACATCGTAAGTCAAGTTTGTTGCCTAAGTCTTTTGTTTTCCTTGGCAGCGCCTGCTGCCTGCTGTGTTCGCAAATAACCAGCTAAATAGCTTCAGAACTTGCTAAAACTAGTATTTAATGATAAAGCCTCTGTTAAATACAGTTCGGTATCTCAGTCAATATTTTTCAATTTTTAAATACAGCCCGTCATGTTTGTTGCCTAAGTCTCTCTCCTCTAAGACTAAATAGCCCATAACGTACTTATAACATGCATAATTCATATATATTATCAAGTTCGTTGCCCAAGTCTCGGCAATTACATCGATCATAACAGCTGCAAGTGCCAGCCGCCCCTTACAGATGCTGGCCCGCACAAAAAGCCAAAGCAAGCTGAGCGCATTTCCGTTTCTTAATCAATGTCACTGCTGTCATTTCAATGGTTGGCTTTTTGTGCACGAGGCTTTCGGCTCGTCTAACAGAATTTGCATACAATGCAGCCTTTCGGGGCGCTTATTCAAGTGCAGTTGCTCTTGCACAATTCCAGCCTAGTACCAAAATAGAGAAACAAGTAAACAAATCCAAAAACAAGCTAAAATTGGCATGCTACACTTCCGCTTCTAAGGCCCCAAAAAAAAAAACAATCTACTTAATCGTATTACTTGTTTGCTTATCTGCGGCTATTGCAAAGAGATCTGTCCCACGCCTAATAAATTCAACTAACAAACGCGCACGCAGAGCCCAACGATTTAATTACGTTGTCGGATCGCAACTAGCATTTGAACTTGGCTTATGTCACCCTCTGGATATTTAGCTGAAAGTTCATGTACGTTGTGTCCGTCACAGTCGAGAAAACCAAAAGGAAGTCGAGTCTAAAATCAAAATATAAATGACTCTTTGATGAGTCGGCAGCACAATTTCAGAATTGTCATAAATCTTGTGCACTTGACAACCCATTCAAAATAAATAAACGCGGCTGACATCATGTGTGTACAAGAGTTTGCGTGTGCTCTATGCCCAAGCACAAGCAATTTTCCGTCTAAGAACTGCGGGTTAACTCAAGTAATGGTTTATTTGGAGGCTCGAACTCCCGACAAGACGCAAGACTGTTGCTTTCCGCTTGAAGCTTAGCAGGGCGCTTTAATCGCAAGGGAACATATATTGGGATCTAAAGGAATAAATTGTGGCTTACGTTTTATCAGGGTTACAATATGACATAAATAGAATCCTAAACTGAGCTTAAATGTAGTTTTGTAGCTTATGTCAACCGCTTAGGCATGAATCAAATATTGCATTGTGTTTTTATAATAGCTTGTAACTTCTATATGTAGATATATGTGTAGACCCAACCTCATCGATAACCCACTTTGTTGACATTTGTTGCCATTTTTCAAAAACTCTGCCCGACATTTTCGCATTCCACATGCGAGTTTTGGTCATTTGTTTTGTGAGCTTTTCGGATTATTTAGTATGGAAATGCTTTTTGGGCACACATGCAGCGTCTGTCCACTGTCCACTGTCCACCCACTCGACGAGAGATTGCGCTTTATGCTAGTCTAATGGGTTTTTAGTTTTGTTACGCAAATAAAAGCCAGCCCGAAATGTGGGTCAACTGTCGCCGCCGCCTCCTCCTCCCTGCGCCCGAACGTAATGAGTTTTAATTGTGCGCAATGTTAATTCTAGGTAGTTTTTTTTTTTTTTTTTAGTTTTTGTTACAATCGAAACCAAAAATAATAAAAGCAACCGCTTCCAAAACCTCCTCCTCCCACTGTCTGTTAGCTGGGCGCGAATCCAAATTAGTTGGGACCATATTAAGATGTTTTATTGTAAAGATTTATCCACTTACCATTCATCTCATCCATGGGATAACGATCGCGATCTCTGTCACCAGGCATAGGCATGGGCATGGGCATGGGTGGCTCTGGAAAGTAGTAGCACGAGATTAGATTAGATTCTACATTGTAAAGGACCGACAGATCCCTCTTAATGGAATTCCGCAGTGGTTTTCCTTATAGTTAAGATATATTTGTTGGGCTCTTACTTTTGTTGCCGTGCACATAATCCTCGGGATTGAAATAGGTGGCTATGGTCTTGTCATCATCATAGTAACCATCTGGTCGCATCGCGCTGCCGTTGCGACGCATATACTCATCTCTAGGCGGTAGGGGGGATGGTGGTCTGTCGTAGGCAGGCGGGCGCGCCGAAGAGCCTGGCCCAGGTCCATAGCCGCCATCGTGAGCTGTATGCGGCGGTGGATCGGGTCGATTGGTATAGTCTGGGCGTGGCTCACCAGGTCCATCATAAGTAGACGTGGGCCGTGGTCCGTAGCCAGGTGAGGTGGAGCTGTCAAATGGACGCGACGGCGAAGGATGCGGATAATCGGGTCGTTCGCTGCCGTAATCCGGTCGAGGAGGATAGCTGGGACGCTCGCCCGATGCGGGACGCAAAGTCGTGGGCGCATAGCGCTCCGGTGTGCCATAGCTATAGCCATTGCCATAGCCCAGGCCAAAGACGGGACGTGGCGGGCCATGCGGCGTGGGACGTATGCCCTCCTCATCGAGAGGCCCATAGGAGGGCCTGTAACGCTCGTCCACCTCGGGCACATTGGCCGCATAGCCGCCGGGTATATATACCTCCTCATTGGGCGCCGGATAGTTGTGCTCATAGAGCGTCGGATATTTGTACAGGGGATAAATCTCGTGGGAGAAATATAAGCGATCCCCGACACCGGGCGGCGTGGGCACCGGCTGCGGCGCCTCGGGTTGATTGGTGTGCGGCGTGGGATTCACAACCAGCACCGGGGTATTGCCCACATCCAGCGCTCGATTGGGCAGATTCACGGGCGTTACGCCCGTGCTGATGGGACTCGGTGCGCCAATCGAATTGTCGCTCAAATCAAAGCAATTCGTTTTGCGCGTATACAAATCAAAGTCGGGATCGAAGATGACGCCACCCGGGCGCCCGCTGCTGCCGCCGCCGCCGCCGCCATACTGCTCCGATGACAACTGACATGTGCCGTTTCCGCGTCGATGCACACTGCAACAGAAAAAGCAAAAAAAAAAATAAGAAATGGAAACGTTTTATTTTGCAACATTGGGTAATCGCAATTGCAAATGTCCAACGCCTCCTCCTCCGCCTCCTCGCCAGCACTCACCCGAACGAGATGGCCTGACACTTCTCGCCCGCCTGCAGGCACTTCTCCTTGCACATCTTCAGCGAGTTGGTGTCTTCGGTGCGGAAGGTCTTCTCAAATGGCAGCATTGCCTCCAAAGCGATCCGCTCGAAGCAGTCTGCGCGGCGAAAAAGAAAAACAAGCAGACGCTTAAAAATACAATAACTTGGCAAATTGGCCAACTGCAATTGGCCAAAAGAAAAGTGCAAGAAAAAGTACAACGCTTGAGTAATGCAGCTCCTCCCTCCCTCTGCACCGCTTGGAACTCCAAACTGACAGCTTCCGACTCCGAATTCCATTTGCAATGATCTCATCATGTGGTCAACACTTGCACTTTCAAGGCCATTCGCAGCATTTTTGTTCCACTGTACGGTAGGTTAGTTTTATGGCCCTCCCCCCATACACACACACAGACAATTGTGTCCACGTTTCAGCTTTGTTCTTTATTCAAATTTGTAAATTTTATATGGCTTGCGTGCCGTGCGGACGCAGTTGACTGCCATTAGCCCCATGTGTGGCCCATAGAACTCTCGACTCCAGCCCCAACACTTGCCACAAACCAGGCCCCATGAATAATTCAGAAAGGTCAAATGGGGCAACAACAAAATTAATCAGTTGCCCTCTGCAGGTTGTGTCTATGCTGCATGATGGACTTTATGATCTGTTCTATGTAATATGTACTAAAATAATTTGGCGAAAAGTATTTGAAAGTATTTGTACGTATCTTTACTTAGATTACGTAGACAATTAGCCTAGAATTTCTGTATACGAAGTAAAGTTAGGACATTTATTTTGGGTTTTGTGAGAACGGATGATAGATCAGGATCCACAATCAAACAATTATGATACAAGTGAGTCGTGGTCCCATTTTTATATTTTACTGAAACTCTAGGAGTTCCTAGTATAGGAATCCTTCTACACCTTGGATATTGCATACATAAGAAGCTTGTAGAGAATCGTAATAACAGATACGGAAAATAAAGAAAGTGATTCTTTTAACTTTTTAAATATTTTTGTACTGTTGACTGGATTTTGTCACGAAATGGTTAATACAATGAAGAAGACCCTAAAGAACCCATTCCTGAACAATATCAATAGCCGGGTCAATTTAGCCATGTTCGTCCCACCGACCGTCTGTCTTTTCTCTTAGTCCTAAATCTAACTCCATTAAACTTTGCATTGATCCATCTCTCAGTATATGTATACCAGCATTAGGAAGTTCGGATCAATAGATCGATCACTTTTAGGCCATATGTCTGCAAGGGTGTTCAATCTTCGGCTTGCCAAAGATCGAGCTGTTAATATTATTAACTAGCAAAAATATATATTGCAGTTGTTGCTCTTTAATGACCCACTTTTAAAAAGCTCTGACTACGTCAAGTTTAATTCTAACTAGAATCTGGCTTTTGTGCTCTCCATATAACAGTTATAATCAGATCATAAAACCCAATCAGAATTGTGATTATGAGTTAATTGTTGTGCTTTGTGGTTTCTCTGGACATCTCGACATCGAACGCTTACCATTTCGCGCTGAGACCAGCTGATTATCCACAGTGAGCGCTGCTGCCAGATTCGCGAGCAGCAGCTGCAGCGGCAGCAGCAACAGGCAGAGCAGCGAGCGTCGCTGCCTGAGCGCGGCTTTGAGCATCTGCCGCATTTGCCCGGTTTCTTAGCTTAGCTTGGGCTGTCGTGTATTTTCACTTGTGAGCGGCAACAATAATTTCCCTTTTTTACACAACTTTTTCCCTTTATATTATTTATTTTTTTGTCACTTGTTCACTTCCTTTGGCATTATTGTGGGGAGTTCGAGTGGACTGTTTGGATCGACGGGAGCTTGGGAACTGAAAGACAGCGGCAAGCGCGAACGGCGTAGAAACCTTCTGTTTCTGCTTTAGCTTCTGTTTCTTTTTAAGCTCTTTCTTTCTTTTCGTTTGTTGTTGTCTCCTTTCTTTCTGTTACGTTCGCGTGCCAGTGGGCATCATTTCTTTGAGCATAACTGCTTCAGTTTGTGGCTTTCGCGTTACGTTTCGCTACTTTTCACATTCTTTTCACCGTTAATTATATTGCCAAAATATGCAGATCGTTAAAGATGAGATGTGGGAGAGCGCATATTTATGGGTTCGAATCCAAAAGCGACGTCAGCAACGAAATTCTGAAATGTTTCAGTTCGGAAAAAAGAAGTTCAACAATTCTCGGAGCGCGCGTGTCATTAACCTGGCCAAAAAAAAAAAAAACGTCTGTTGGCTTCCTTGATGACGCCTGTTCTGGAGCCTATGACCTTTTGGCCCCAGTTTTTTGGCCACTTGGTAATTAGCATTTTTTTTTAATGACAAAGTGCTCAGCAATGCGTAAATACAATTGGCATCATTGCCGTCGCACTTGGCCAAATGTAAAGCCAAAAACAAAAAAATATCAAAAATTATTAAACAAAACAAAAATTTAAAACAAAACAGCTTAAAACCGCGCAAAACCTTTTAATTATTGCCCAAAGCGAGCGATAGAGAGGGAAAGAAGCAAAAAATAAAAAACAAAAAACCGGCAATTAATTTATTATGACCGCTTGAGAAAAATATAAACCCAAATTATGAATGATTAATTGAAAAGCTGCTCAGAATATATTTGAAAAAATGTATGTGTATAATGTTTATAAAAAGAAATCTTTTTATTTTTTATTTTTTGCGCCAAATTTCACTCAGGTGTTAAGTATACGGCTTCTGGGCCAACATCTCAACGCCTTTCCGGCCGAATTATGCTGAGAATTGTAACGGTAAATTTGATTGTCAAGCTTCCGTTGCGCTTTGACATTTTGGCAAACGGTTAATGACAAGAAAGCTCGCAAATCACACACACACACACACACACACACACAACTGCAGCGCAATTTCAATTAACTTGCTTTGATTTCAAGTATTTTTTTTTTTAAATTATTTTCTTTCCCTTTTTGCGTTTATTTTAATAACATTTTTTTTCTATTTTTTTTTTGTTTTCTTTTATTTTTGTTTGCCGCTTTCGATTCTCGTTTGGCTTTATATTTGTTTTGTTACGCTGCGACTCGAACTCAAACGCCGATCCGCACTCGCTAAACAATTGAAACTGAATAAAAATTCTGATTTAGTTGTATTCGAAACTCATCGGATGAGCAGAAAGCAGCGCTGCCCGCAGCGGCAGCAGCAGCGACAGCGACGCCGGCAGCAGCAACATCAAATAAAAGCATCGCACTCTTTTGTTGTTGTTGTTGTTGTTGTTGTTGTAGCTGGCATTTACGGCGTTTAGATTTGAACTCAGTTAGGCGCAGGCAGCTTGAGGCAGCAGCAGCTGAAGTTTGGCTCTGGAGCTCATCATTATGATCATCATTAGCAATTGCTGCCAGCTGAGCTTGGAGGCAACGTCGCAGTCGTCGCCGTCGTCGTTGTCGTCTTCATCGTCGCCTTCTTTCGCCAGCCACCATTTTCTCTAATAGCTGCGCATGATTCACAGAAAATTGTTTCAATATGAAATTGTAGCTAGCAATTTGTGTGCTTGTGGCAAGCCGCATTTTGTATGCCCTATAAATTGAGTTGAGATTTTAATTAAAATTGAGTGTGCCCTAAGTAAAGTTAAATTTCTCTAAATTAAAAGCTTTCTGTAAGCCAGCTTTGTATGGCCTATAATATTAAACTGAGTTTTTCAATAAAGTATAGTTTGACTTAAATATAAGCTTAATAAACTGAGCTTTTGAATTAAGTTTTTGAATGTGAACTTTTTGCAAGCAATGCTTTCTAAGCTAAAAAAACCTAAAATTTAAAAGCTTTATGCTGTTCTTGATTAAACAAGAAATTTGTTTGCGTGTTTCAAGCTGCATTTTGTGTAAAAGCTGAGCTTTAAATTGAAATATGGCACAAATTAAGTATAGTTTGTCTAAAATACACTTTTTCCTAAAATACAAAGAAGTGCTTTTATATTAAATATAATATTCTAAGGTATGCAGTTTTTATACAAATTTTTCCTTTGTATTTATACCCTGCAGGAAATGTATAATATAAACCATATCTCGGAGATTTTTATAGCTAGAGTCTTAAAATTTGGTATGTAGCTTCTCATTTATTATATGAGGATTACAAAAAATCCGAAAGTTTATATCTGCAATTCATTTCTGGGCTTAGGGTGTCTCCTAGTCGGATTACTTATCTGCACAAAAGCAAATTGTGATTAAGCTTAAATGCCCCAACTGGAAAGTGTATGCAGAGGCGTGTTTATTTGTGTGCGCGCAATTAGAGGCAAGTGCTAGACGTCTGTTGCTGTAGAATTAGAATTAGTAGAGCAGTTGAATTAGAGCCAACTACAGAATTGGAAAGAGCCAGAACTTCAAAGCACCAAAGAATGGCATAATAATTTCCTTAAACTAAGTTTACGCTTTGTTAGATCGCACAATTCAAATTGAGTGAGGGCTCTGCTCGCCGGCCAATGCACCTGTTATTATATGAAAAACTTGAAGAGTTTTCGGTTTTTCACACAAACAGCTGAAGCGTTAATTGGTGCAAGTTTTCACTGCAACAACCAAAAAGTGTTGTGCGCGCTGTGTGTGTGTGTGTTGTTTTTGGGGGGTCTTATAATTGGCGACACCTTTAACTGCCGACCTTGTCATGCTCGCTGACGTCGTCTAATTCAGGCCGGGGCTGTTCTTCATCAGCGCCTCGGCAACGACTTTGCAGTCGACGTCAGCTGCGCTGCCGGCAAAGTTAAGCGAGCGTATCCAGCGGCAGGAGCAGCCGTCCCAGCTGCTGACAAGATTCGCCGAATCTCAACTGAGCTCATTCTTAGCAGCAATTTGCCTGGCCAAATAGGAATTCCTTAGAATACGCCCAGCTAGGTGCAGCCGCTGCTCAAGGTTGCAGTTCGTGCCCCGAATTGCTGTCGGATTAGGCAAATTTGGCAGCAGCAACAAATTATTATATATGTATAAAATTTGCCATTGGAAAGATTGCACAATACGCATTTGATATTTCTATTTTTATCAATTTGATTTGTATTTTTTGGGGGGCGCTCTGCTCCACATTTGGCTGCGATATTTGCGTGTCAGTGCGGCCAAACTGTCGCCGCCTATCAAAAATCGCCTCAAAAAATCGCCTGAAAAAATCGCCTCAAAAAATTCAATAGGTGCTCGGCGAATGGCGCACGCGCCGCGACTGCCAAGTGCGGCAAGGCAACAACAAATATATCGATTCCACTTGGCATCACGTTTTGCAGCGTGAACAATTTCCATATGCAGCGCGTGTCTAATACAGATATTGGACGGCAGATATCTTGCGCTCGCATCGGGCCCAAGGACCATGTAACACCCGTCGCAGCAAAAAAAAAAAAATAATAATAATAATAAAAATTTAAAACGTATTTTGAAATGGAAAACGCAGCGCTCCCATGCGAATCATCGATTGGGTAAACGCATAAATTGATCAGAGGTGATTGACAGTTGTGGGCGAGCAGGAAACGCCGCCCGATGACAACTTGTTGTGGCGGGCGGAACGGTTAAATTACGCAAAGGTTTTTGCTTCTTCTTTTGCAGCGGTCAGTTCAAAGCAGCAGCAGCAGATTTATAATTCTTGGGAATCAAGGGTTTGTTGGGGATATATTAGTATGTTCCCAGTTATCCCGATTTTGTCTGTGGCTAACGTATGCAAAGCATGGCCTTCAATCATTTTTGCCGGAGCCTCTTTATCAAGATCTTTGTCTGCTGCATTCCGAAAAGCACCCTTTAGAGCAGACAGCAGGGCATATGCGTGCACTGAAGATATGAGAAGAGAATGCCATATGGCTAATTGGAAGGGATTCGCTATATCGTCAGGGCAAAAAAAGAAGTAAAATCTTAACCCCAAGAAGGTAGAAGTTTTGTTTTTCTTATTTTCTTGTTGGCTTTCCGGCAGGAATTTGACCTAACTTAACCTAATCTGACCCAACCTAACCTAACCTAACATTTTCAAACCTAACCTAACATTCTGCGACCTAACCTAACTTTTCCCAAATTGTTGAATCGCTTAGACTCTATACTTACACATTCACAAACTTATGTATGTAGAACAAGTATCATTATAGATCTAGCTGATAGAAAAATATGATTGAATTGATTGCCTTACAATTGTTACTTAAATACCGAAACGGATTCTTAATGTCCAAAGAATTGGTTACAGTTTATGGGCTATTTGTTGCTGTTTGGCAAATCGGCACAAACTGGTTATTCACGTAACTGGCATTAGCTCAGTCGGCTTTGTGCTTATCATAAACGATTTGTGTATCATATTCAATTTGTGTTCAATCATGTCAACTTTATGTATGGGCCAGTCATATCCATAATGTTATCTCTAAGCAGCACTTGATCAACTTTTATTTTTGGTTAAGGGGGGAGTTGTCATTGAGCCGCTGCTATAGAAATCAAATGTTCATGTTAAATTGACAGTCGGTGTTGGCAATCAGCTGTTTGTTGCAATGCGGCGCGCACATGCCCCACATTTCGCAGAAATGTTGAAAGAAAAACTTAAACTCACCTAACAGGAAGTATTTGCATTCGCAATTTGGGATTCGCGCACTGAAAATGAAAGTTATAATCCGCATAGCCATAGCAGTGGCAGCCACAGCCTACGGGGCACATATTATTATTGTTTTATGTAGCTTGCAGCTCCCGGTGTGGTACGCATTGGTTTCACTGGAATATTTATCAACACACAAATAACCATTATGCAATTACCCAAGACAAACGGGGCAATTTGCGGCAGCCCGGCCTGGCAACCATCCACATGCAACAAGCTGATTGCTGCAATGCAGCTGGGCCCTGTTTGAGGGGGTCGCCCTGCAGTCTATGGCCAAAACACACTGGCCTACATATACATGGCCACACAGACAGCAGCCCAATCAACGTTTAACAGCGTTCGGTTTATAGCAGTCCAATCAAAGATTAACAGCATAGTTAACAGGAAGTCGTAACAGCAGCAGTAACAGAAGGCTTGAGGGGGTCGCCTTGTGGTCTAAGGCAAAAACCAACTAACCTACATACACAGAGACACACTTACACAGATTAGTCCAATCAGCACTGTACAGCTTAGTTGATAGCAGTCCCATCAATGCTTTACAGTTCAGTTAACAGCAGCCGTAACAGAATGCAACAGCTGCTGTTATGTCAATTTGTCGACCCATAAATTGATCATCAAATGCCCATTAAATCGACTGCGTGTGATGCATTTGATGATTAGTTTTAAAAGGGTTCGAAACTTGTTAAGTAATTGCCCAAAAATGGTAATAAAATGAAAAATACAAAAATGCGTTTTATTGCAAATTTTTGGTGTTGTTTATGTTAATCACACGAGCCGTACGTGATCGTGATGCCCCTCTCTGCTTGACAGCGACAATTGTGACCCATTTACAGCGTTTAATTGACACGGACAGCAACAGCAACAATTGCCGCAGCAACAGCAGCAACAACAACAGCAACAGCTGCTGTTATGGCCACATAACAGTCAAGGTCGTCTGCAAAGATGTCTTGGGCTTGATATGCTAGGGATAAGCTTGACAATTTTTGTGGCTGCTGTTGTTGTTGTTGTCGCTGCTGCTGCTGCTGCTGTTGCTGCCCTGACGTTCACTTTTGTGGCCAGCCGAAGAAGGCAGTTAAGCGATACATTCAATCGCAATATGCTTTATGTGCCAGTTGATCATTCACATGGAATAATTTCAGAAGAGGTTGCAAACAATGCGATTATGACATTAATATAATGTCATTAATATAACAACAAGCAAGAATGCTGCCATCGGGTACAACCAACTGCCTAATCTCCCTGCACGGTTAAATATAGTGACAATTTTAATGGAAATATATATACATTTGATTCAATATGAATATATTTATTTATGGTTCGATCTGATCTGAGCTCTTTCGTAGACTTTATTTCAAATGTGAGCAGTCTAACTATTAGGCAGTGATAAATATATCCCTTTGTTGAGGATAAACGGGGTATATCTGGGTCTGTTAAATTGCCTGAACGATTTCGGAGACAATAAGGATATGCTCGTTCTCGTTATTTTCTCCCTTTACCATTTCCATCAAATCGATATTTATCGATAGCCACTTATTCCAAACATGAGCATCTTTTAAACAGACACGCCCCACTCGAGCATTCCAGATACTTTATGAGCGAGCTTAATAATTTGTATTGTGTGACACAAAGTGAACAGAGACAAATAACAAATTTTGCATTAAAACTTGCCGAGTCAAAGTTCGATTGTCTATGTCAGGAGGAGACAATAACAGCAACAACAACAAAGTCCACTTTTTTAATGTGACTTCATTTTACAGCAGCAACTGATGCGTGGTTTGCTGCAGACAACACGCAGCTGCCCCAAGTGTTGTTGTTGTTGTTGTTATTGTAACTATATACTGTCTTAGCAATGGGTTAAGCAACAACAGCAACAAGAGCAACAGCAGGCAGACCTCTTGGTTAACCAACTCGTAAAACACTTAACAGTGCGCTGTTGTTGTAGCTACTGTTATTGTTGCTGCTGTTATTGTGGCTGCTGCTGTTGTTGTTGCTGCTGCGCGCATGCGTCACGTATGCTTTTTACATTGGTCGTCGCTGCTGTCGCTGCTGTTGCTGCCGCCGTCTGCTGTTGGCGCCTGCAATTGGGTATAAAACGGATGCGCCATTGGCCATTGGTTATCAGTCATTGGCAGACATTGGCAGTGCAGCGGGCATTATCAGCAGCAAAAGTCGAGTTTAAACGCGTTCGCAAGCTAAAGAAAACCTAAATATGACCGCTCTAAGAGTAATCGTAAGTGTGCCCAGCCAAACCAAATAATATCAACAAGGACTCACGTGCAGTGTGCAAAAACAAGACAAAAACAAAATAACGTTACATAATCGTGAAAAAAATGGTACACGCTTACCAAATCTTATATAACACGACTTACATAAACATAAACCAAAGCCTTGCCTGACAACTGTCGACATTAAGTGCTCAGGCTTAACAGGCCAAATTGATCTTAACTTAAACAAATATCGCACTTCATGCGATTTCCTCGTTCGACATCCAAGTTTAACAGGCGCCAACATTTTTGTATTCAAACACATATTCCATAGTTAGTTTGTAATTTTCTTATTAATAGAAAGTATTTTGGTTAAATTGATTTGAACGGCTTTAAAGTTGCTCAAATGTTTTGTAATTTGGGCCCGTCGCAGTTGCCCTTGGAGTTGGCCAAAAAGCTGCCATTGGGCTATTTGCTCTAGTTCAGTTATTGATTTGGCCTTAATTGCAATTGCCAAAATTGTTGGCCATTTCAAATAAAGGTTATAGGCAATATAAAACAAACTTGCACAACTTTGTCGTAGTCATGTTTTATACTAATACACCTTGATACACTTTTGAATGTTAGGTACCCTGTTAATACCCTGTACTCCGTTTTGAGGCAGTATCATGCACATGTGTGCGCGTTTGCCTCAAAGAAGTTTTCAAAGAATTATACCCAACCATTTCGTAGCCTTTTTTAGCCAATTTTCTTAGGCTATTAAAACTAGATTTTTCTATCTATTAGTTCTTGCATTATAAATGTTATAAGAGTAATAAATATTACTTAGAGATATTTTGGGTATTTAAAAGTGTTCTACACATTGGACTTTATTTTCTTATTAAAATTGTAGTTTTATTCAGACTACTTTTAAATATTTCTAAATTATAAATTATCGATAAGTATCGATTTTGAGATACAATTTCCCATTATTAACCCTATATCATTAATATTATTTGAAATATATCATATATATTATGGTCATGGTCTTTTAATTGTGACTCAACTAAGCTTTTACAAAATAATTGAATAAATATAAACAATTCGAGAAATCGAAAAAATATAAACAAATAAATATTGATTAGAATCTTATGAACTGTGCGAAATGCAAAGTTTTAATATTAAATCAAATTAATTCACTTTAATTTAGATGCAAGTATTGATTGAAAAACTAGCAACTAGATTTCCTATTAAAAATCAGTATCTAGGTGTTAAAAGATTGTTTCATTTTTTGTTTTTGTTCAATTCTTTTCACAGGTCTTTGTTGCACTTTTCGCTGTGGCTTACTGCGCGCCCAGTCCCGGCTTCTTTGGCAAACAGTAAGTGAACCATAAACCATACACAAAAAACCGTAAATAGTATATTTAATCCGACATATAAAACGTTTCCCGTGTTGTGCAACTAACATTGATTTTTTATGATTGGTTTTTGTATGGCTTTTTAAACGCCGACATTTAAGCGTTATGAATTATGGATTCAATTACGCTCGAAATGAAGCAATCAATATATGTATATAGAGCTAGTAAAAAACTTGGGGCCCTAGAGCCGTTGAATGGGTTTCAGCTTGTTCGTGAATGAGCTGAATTGTTGCTGTACATCGTGCGATGTACAGACTCGCGATTGGCAGCCAGTGAACCCCGGTGACAACGTTTAGGAATTTCACAGGCGACGCTTGGCATTTAATTCATTATAATGCACACATAATTGCGCCGCTTAATTAACAATTCCGAGCATTGGTCTTGTGCGGCTCTCGGCGCTGGGGGGATCTCCTGTGCCAAGTGGCAATGCGACGGGGTTCAAGCAACTGCCAAGACGACTGTTAAACAAGTCGAGCTGACTGAGTGCCAGTTATTTAGCTGATTAGCTAATAACATTGAATGCCAATTATTGTGTGTGGCTACCCCTTACCACCCTCTTACCCCCTTTTCCACCTGGGTGCAGCCAATCTCCTACAGCCATATCATTAGCCCAGACATATATCACTTTCATTTGCTTTCCAATTGTTGCCTGTGTCTTGAACTTCTTGTTAAACGCCGCGCTCTCCCTCTCCCCCCATTTCCCAGTGAACACCACACAATTCATGTGCCCTATAAGGTGCACACGGTGCATCATCATCATGTCCAGAAGATCGCCGTGCCGGTGGTAAAACATGTGCCCGTCTACAAGGAGGTGCATGTGCCCGTCTACAAGGAGGTGCCCGTCCATCATGTCCATCATGAGGAGATTGTGCCGGTGCATGTGCACGAGGATCATCACGATTATCATCATGACTTCCACAAGGGCTGGAACTCGCTCTCCCATGGCTGGTAAAGCACCCAACACACAAACGCACACACGCACACACACACACACACCCACCCAACACAACTTGTTTGCTTTGTAAATATCTGTACAATGTCTTAAGTTTAAAGAAAAAGAAATGTCTGTAAATAAAAGTGAGATTTTTTGATTATAAACTTTTTTGGGATTTATTATAATTTTTGACTGGGCAGCGTTTTTTTTTTTATGATATAAGTGTACCTGGTTTTAATTTGCAGTTGCACTTGACCTTGGCCACCGCTGGCCGCTTGATGTGGCCGCCGTTTTGCAAGAACGACTTTCACAAAAGCGGCTCGGGGTCAACCAGCAACAGCAGCGGGCAGCGGGCAGCTGGCAGCAGCGGGCAGTTGATCACCTGTGAGGTCCGCTCCTTGTCCGAAGCGCGGAACTGGAACTTGACTGCGTTGTAAGCTGATAGCTTCACTCTGGGCGTGGCACATTCTCGACGCTTGACAAGGTTTTGGGTCAACCTATAAATTAATAACCTTTCCAAATATAAATATTTTTTAAATGCTAGCGGAATTCGAGATTTTCTCAGACTGTTTAAACAATTTTGTTATATTTTTGTAAATGGAATCTTAATCGTAGATTTTTATGATCGGTTCGGGGTTCAGGTTAAATGTTAATCAAATAAGTAACACGATTCTTAAATTCTATCGGAATTCAGATGTATTTAAACAGCTTTCAAAATGTTGTTACACTTTTGTAACTGATTCCAATTGAATCGGTTAGTTGTCTCGAGCTTCAGTTTGATTAAATATATATAAAGATACTTGCAAGTTTTCAAATATATTTATTAAAAATTTCTACCGGAATTCGGGATTATATAAACAGCCTCCAGTCTATCTGCTTCGCAGTTTGATACTGGCTTAGTGCATTAAAAGGTAACCCACTGGGCGTGCCACATGACAACTTTGGATTCAACTTTTCAAACGAGTATTTACTTGATTTAATGATTCAAACTAGAAACTTTGACTCTTTGCCACACGTGTCAACTAAGCCATAAATCAAGTTCGAATTCAGCTTATTATGTAGTGAATAGACAAAGAATCGAAACCGGAGATAATAAACAAATGCAGCGAATTATAGAAAAACTCAAGGAACTCTGCAGGAATTCTTGGCATAGAAGTTGTTTTTAGAGTAATATACAAAAATGCTTAACTAAATGAATGTAAATTATGATGATAAAAGAACAAATAAAAATCCCTTCTCAAGTCTTTGAAGTTAAATTAAATCTTTCATCCAATCTTCCATGAAAATCTTCCATTATTAACAAAGATCTTTCATCAAATTAGTTTTTAGAACATTATAGAAAATAGCTAACTAAATACTTTTAAGTATGATGAAATCTAAAACACATTCAAATGTTTTTAATAATATACTAACATATTCTCTGAAGTATGATAGAAGTTAGAATCTAATAAAAGTATATATCTGCAAATCCAGTCAACCTTTATTTTGACTAAAATAAAATACTAAATCAAAATTCTTCCATCAATATCTTCTATCAAAATTTTCCATACTAATTTATTCTTTAAAGTATAAGTTAGACCCTAATAAGAGTACTTAAAGTACAAATAAAAGTACTTCTATCTTCCCCATTCAAATATAAGTCCTACCAACTACCATTGATAAGAGCCTGGAATAAATTCTGTGCTAGTATGCTACACGTTAAAACCCTTTATATATATACTATATATATATAGCATTTAAAATCCAACTAAAGTTTATATGACCAACATGCTTTTTTTATTGACGCCAACAACAGAATTTCAATAGTTGAGAACTAGGTAGCGTTAGAAGGAAGCTAAAAAAAAGGAAAAAATGCGTGTGATGAGCGTGTGGACAGATCGCGTAGAGTGTGGACAGTGTGGGCAGGCGCTGTGTGTATGTGTGTGTGTGTGGCTGCTTAGTTGCAGAAGGGGAAGTTGGGGCACTGATGCGGCGAGACACCGGCGGGATACAGACGCTCCGTCCAGCCGGGCAATGGTGGTGCGGCGACGGGTGCAGCCGCATGTCCGGCATTCACATCGCAATAGGGATAGTTGGGGCAGGTCTGTGGATTGATGCCAGCCGGATATTTATCACCGCCTGCGGCAGGGGCTGGTGCCGCGTTCCAGCTGGGCTGTGGCTGCCACTGCGGCTGTGGTTGCTGCCACTGCGGCTGCGGCTGCTGCCAGTGCTGTTGCGGCTGTGGCTGCCACTGGGGCTGCGGTTGCTGCCACTGGGGCTGCGGCTGCTGCCACTGCGATTGTGGATTGTGCAGGCGCGCATTATCACAGATGGGAAAACCGGGGCAGTCCTGTGGATTCACACCGGCGGGATATTGGGCAGCTGGCGGATGCTGTGGCTTGGCCAGAGCCAGCGCCAGGCAGGAGGCGAGCAGCTGCAGGAGCACAAAGTTTCAGAAGCTGAGCTAAACTTGATGGCGCGCCCGCTACTCACCAGCTTGAAGAACATGTTGATTATTTTAATCCTTGCGGGTGTGTGTGTCTGTGTGTGTGTAAGTGATTTTGCCAATTGGACTATAAAGTCGTGTTTGAACTTAAACTTCCAATTGGGTTCCTGGTCAGCGCTGCACTGTGGGACAAACACGGCCGTCAGCTTGGCTTATATAGCCGAACAACAGTCTCTCTCGCATTGACCGGCTAGAACCGAGTCTCAGACTCCGACACCGTTGGCTCGGTTTCACTTTCATTGGCTGGCTGGCAGATTTGGTGCGGCAATGGCAACTGCATTTGCTGCTGTTGTTGTTGTTGTTGTTGTTGTTGACTGATCTCGCGCATATTTTGCTTGATTGGCCCAACAGATTATTATTAGAGTCTTTGTTGTGCGCGCGAGCGCACAAATAAATCGAACGGCCACAACAGACACATATGCATGCCCCTACTTACATACCCACATATACGATATCTACATATATATATATATATATATATATATATATGTGTGTGTGTGTGCATTTATATCAAGTTACAGGCCGTCATTAGCAATAGCAATGAACTAAGCCCCGCTCGCATTCTAGCCAAAAATAAAGAGATATATATGTTTGTTTGTCTTTTGGCTTTCGGCCCACTTGGCGCGTTGGCGTTTTCCATTTTGGCCAAGTGCCTTTTTTGTTATTTGTTGTTGTTGTTGCAGCCTCTCAACCCTTGCCACATATTGGCGCTGTCATGGAATCTGTTCGTGAATCACTTTATTTGTGCCGCAGGTTTCCTTGTCGTGCCGCCAGCAACACCTTTGCCATCGACAGCGCCAACGCGCCTTGCTCTTGGCTCCACACACTCACACACACACACACATACTCGCCCGGAAGGGGCCAAGTCACATGGTAACTGGTTTCGGTGCAGCGAACTTGCACTAGTTTCCAGGCACTGCATGGACCAGAGCCCGATCTAAGCTCTGATTCTGGGCGAGGGATGGGCGATAGGCAATTAAAATTTGGCTTTCCATTTTTCAAATATTTCACTTAGCTTAAATACCATATGATAAGAACATTAAAAGGCTTTTAAACTTAAGTCCAAAATGAGATGGTTCAGAAAGGTGAGGTTCTTAATTTGATTATATTATATATATATATAATAGATATTGGACATAGATTATGCACACTTGGGCTACTTCAATTCCACGCCTCTTTAGCAGACGCCTGGCAAGCACTTCTCTAGTATCTAAATCCAAGCTGGACTAGTTATAGTATATATGCAAAGTTAACTATTGCCAGCCCTAGTTCTAGCAGGTTTCTGTCCAGCTTATGCAAATGTTGTTGCATAGTGTCACCAGAAAAACACGCTGCTTGTCGAAGCTGTGCCGCACACGCATGCGCTTGACCAATGCCAGAGAGAACAAGGCGCACGCACCGACTTCCTGGCCAGAGGCCTACGTCACAGATCAGATTCGGGTAATTCAATTACTAGGCGCTGTCACACAAATTATGAGCTAATAAGGCGGCGGGGCAGCAAGCCAGACACACACACACACACACATTTGCAACAGATTGTTAAACGTGGACGAGTGACGGTCAGTGTAGCCAATTCAGCTATTTTCCAGCCAAATTTTGGTGTTTATAGCTATTTTTGGCAAGCCTGTGTATGGCTAATATGTGCTAAGCAAGCTAGCTCAGCTATTTTTAGCCATTTTTTTGTACATATATCGATTTCAGCTAGATTTTTGAAACGGCAGTTGACAACACTGGCGACGGCGGCCAATTGTTGGCAACGTTGTAACAGATTTAGTTTAATTCTTATAATTTGTGTTTGCAACTGCCGCCGCCGGCAGCCATTGGCCAGGAATGTGCGCGGGCGCGGCTGCTCCACTTGTAGGTGGCTGGCTGAGGCTGAGTGTGGTGCTGGTGGTGCCGCTGGAGCTGAAGCCGAAGCTGGCGGCTAATGCGAATGCGTTACGTAGCGCGGGCGCGCTGTAAGCTGATCTCGTTAGCCTTGATCAATGGCCCGGAAAAATAAAAGCCAGCGAAATTGAAATTGTTGACCGCTCGCATAATGCATGGAGTGTGTGTGTGTGTATGTGTGTGTGTGTTGGTTCTCGCGCTTGTTGTTGTGCCTGATATCTGAAATGTCGTGTTTGCCTTTTTTGTCACATTGGCGCGCATTTGAAATTATTACGGCCATTAGCTGTCGCCTTCTTTTTTTTTCGTCTAGTTTTTAATTATCAATTTCCTTCTGCGCTGACGGATAGCACTTAACGGGGCGTACGCTTTAGGTGTGCCATGGAAAAGAAAGCATATTTGCATACAATTTGCATATTCAAGTTATTTTTTGTTTTTGTATTCAGTTTACAATTTGTATTTCAAAACGTACTCAACAATTATTCAGAAATTCTTGTTTTCTTGTTGTAGATTTAAGCTAGTGAGTTGGGTTTAGTGACTAAATTGAACAAAAATATTCTAGAGAAATAATTGCTTACCAACAAAGTGTTAATTAATATTAATTGTTAACTCTAAGCAAAATAATGTATATAAATATATATATGCATAAATAAGTTTGCTTTTATTTAATGCTAACACGCTTTGCGTTGCCTAAAAACCTGTTCATGGCGCACTCGGCGAACCGTTTTCATATTCAAAAACTATTCTTTTGCCTCAGTCTCGCTGGCATCAGCATCGGCAGCCGCTGTTGCAATTTCAGTCTCCAACACATTCGTTGCAGTCGTTGGGTTAACAGCATCAGTATCCACATCAACATCCATATCGGCTTCCACATCAGCTTCACCCTCCGCATCGGTATCAGTCGATGGCAAGTCTTCGTGCAGCGCGCGGCGCACTAAATGCTGGTTATCTGCAGGTTAAATATAAAATGCATTATTAGACAGGCAGTTAACAAGAGCATAAACTGTATGGTTAGTCACCAAATTCTTCATCCTCATCGTCGGATGAATCGCTTTCGGTGCTGTCATTGCCTTGCAATGCCGATTTCGGCGTCTGTGGATGCCCTGCGTTAAGGGATAGGCGTGGCGCCACGGGTCTCTCCTTGCGTGCCGGATTAAGTACACCACAGAAGGCGCAATGAAATGTTGTATACTCATATTCCTCCAGGGGTAGCATGCCTAAAATCAAACGTAATATTGAATTGCAGTCAAGCGCAAAGAGCCGCATCTCACCATTATGCCGATGGCACTGCTTGCATATCATGCCAAAGCGATTCTGCGGACTGTCGCCCACAATGAAGTCCACAATGCGATCCAATGCGCTGCGTGAGCTCTCATCGACCACGGGGAAGGGCGTGCGTCTACGCAGCTCCTGCTCAGCACGCAGCTGCGGCGTTGATAACAATTGCATTTGCGACGACATGACGCTGCTATTTATATTGTTGTTCAAATTGCGATAGACGCTCGTATAGGGGGGCGCCAACATGCGCTGTTGCTGCTGCTGCTGATGTGCGACTGCAGCTACGGGCTGCGGCGTGCGCTGCAGCGAAGATGCGTTCAAGCGATTCAGATTGTTGCTGCTCGGGCTGCTACGCGCTGTGGTGGACAGCTGATTGCTGCTGATGCGATTATGTTGCTTATCGCCAAAGCGCTCAAGAAGATTCACTGCCACCTGCCAAAATGATAATGATTATAATTAATGATGGTGATTACAGCCCTGAAAACATATTCTAAGCCGAACCAATCTAAACCAGGTTTTGACTCAGATCTAGAACTAAATCAATAGCCACAAAAACATACCAATTGAACCCAGAACGGAAGCAAGTCGTTTTTAAAAATGAATTCGCTTAATCTAAAAACTTCTGATGGAAATTTAGTTTTAAAGCATAAATAACTTGGGTTTAATTATTGGATTTATCTAATCATATGTGGCATATGCCCAATTTGAAGTTCTATGTGAAAAAATCCATAAAATCTCTAGCCAAATTAAAACTTGAATAAATTAATTCAAATGTTACAAATAATTGACAAAATCTTCATTCAAGGATGCGTAAGTCCGGGTACACAGACGCTGCCCTATTAATTATTTCCTGGACAACGTACCTTGTAGGTCTCTTTGTCCATGACCTGCTCCAATATCTTGTTTTTCTTCTGCTTCAGCTGGGCCAGCTTATCGCCATTTTTGTTGAGCTTGCGCTGAAAATACCACGTAAACATTTGACGCAAGACAACAATGCTGAAAAACAATAACAAAAATCAATTGTTAAACTAGCAGCTTTCGGTGCAATGAGATCATCGTTCGACTGGCACTGGCTTTGTTTTTGTTGGATTACTCACAGCACTGGGAACAAGAGCAGCGGCACCAAGTACATGATGCGCTCCTGCATTGTTGGCGGGAAATAGAAGAAATACCAAAGCGCAAAGCCAACGATATATGCGCCAATTGTGAAGCCAACAAAGTTGCTAACAAAGCGCCTTTTGCGCTCCTGCGTATTGATCACATATTTCTCTAGATCTTGTATCTGCACCTGCAGTCCCTCCAGAACAGCAGTTGTAGATTTTTCCTTCTATAATTAGAAATGCGTACGTATGTAAATGTTTTTTTATGCATATGTAGTGCATATATGTGCTCATCGGCGCCCTCGGCGTCACTCAGTGGCTGGTTAGTGGCAATTGCAATTAGAAACGTGATATTGCACTTACCCGAAATTTCGATAGAACAAACCCCATTTTATTTATTTTTAGTATAAGTTGTATTAAATTAAATGACGCCTACTTAAATTTAAAAAATGTAAATATTAACTAATTTCGTGCCGTGACCCTGCTCCCCGTTGGGCTTGTTGATGCTGACTCGATATATCGATAGGGCTGAAAAGGTCATGCGATATTTTTGGTATCGCATATCGATAGATGTGAAACGAAACATTTTATTTGATTTTCTACTTTTATTGTGTACTTTGAAGTGATTTGACCGATTAGTAGGCAATTATGTACAATTTGAAACTATTTTGGAACATTATTTTGTAAATTTGTCGCCTAAAAACACTTGTCGATTATTTTTGCAGCCCTGCGGGCATCACAACAGCTGGGTTACAGTTGCGCATTTTACAAAAGTTAAACAGTTTATTGCACACGAAATAAGAGATTATTTTCTGTGATAACTACCCGTTTGTATCTAAGACGCACATGAGCTGATTTCCCTGTCTGCACTTAAGACTGAAAACAAAGAAAACTTGCATTTTTGTTGGCGAGTTCTTGTCTGTGTGGGAGTTGTTGCGGAACAAAGTAAAACACGAAAGACGAAGATTAAACCAGCAGCTGCAGCATTTGGAGTGGAAATATAATAGTTTAAACATGGCCAAAATTATTTCTCAAGAGACTTTCGACGATGTTGTCCAGGAGAATGTGGTGGATTTCTCCATGAGCCCCTCAGAGGCCAAGGAGGAGACTATAAAACAATTTGAAGCACAGGTGCGTATTTGTATGCGTCATCCAATTAGATTGTCTGAGTCGAATGTGTCTTGTTAACCTCAGGGCATCAACCTGGCCAACATTATCAAAGATTTGGCTATCAATGCGGAAACGGGCAAGCCTGTTATTAACGAAACGGTTGACAAATTAACAACTCACATTAACCAAGGAGGCAAGGATGAGCAGCAGCTTTTGGAACTGCTTGCTGTCCTGGATCTGGAGTGCCAAAAGTCGCTGGCACATCGTGTGCTCGCAGGCAAGAACGGTGCACACAATGTGCTTACAAAACTGCTCGACCAGGCGCTGACCGCCGAGACGCTGCCAACGACGCTGGTGTGCAAATGCCTGCAGGCTGTGAACAGTCTGACCCACAAGCAGCCCGATATATTCGATGGCGAGGCGTTGGCCGTTGTGCTTAAGCTACTGGCACTTAAGGATCAGCAGGATATCGTTTGTCTGACGCTGCAGTGGCTACAGAAAACGTGCGTCATGCACGAAATGAATCGTCAGAAGATTTTGAGCACCAACGCGCTGAAGCTATTGAAGCCGCTGTTAACCAGGGACAGTCCACGCGTGCTGCGCGAACTGACAGCAGTTCTGAGGTTTCTAGTGCTGGACGATGACATACGTGTGGAGTTTGGCTGTGCACATGAGCATGCGCGCCAGATAGCCAGCGAAATGCTGCTGGATCTCGTAGAGCTGTTGCCCGCCTACGAGGATGCCAATGTGCTGGCGGATTTGCTGCTCACCATCGGCACGCTGGCCGTGCGCCAGGAGCTGTGCCTAGTCATTGACGAAGCCGGCGGCCTGAAGCACATCTTCCATATTATGAGTGAGAATCTGAAAGCGGAGCGCTTAAACTGCGAGGCCTTAAAACTTTTACGCGCACTCGCCGGCCATGATGCTGTCAAGGCGCACATAGTGCAGCAGGGCGTAGCGCCCATTATTAAGGAGCTGCTGGACACGCATCAATCCAATGAGAACATTGTGACTGCCGCCTTTGCCTGCATAACAACGCTCACGCTGCGCGTCAAGGAGAACAGCGCCGCCTTCTTTGATACGGGCATTGCCGAGGTGATGGTCGAGGCGCTGCGCATGCATCCCAAGCACAAAATACTTCAACGCAACGGCGCCTGGGCCATACGTAATATGGTTTCACGTTCGCGCAATCAATGCGAAACATGGCTATCCTATGGCGTTGAGGATTTACTCAATGCGGCCATGGTGGACCATCCGTCGGTGGCGCAGGACATTAAGGCGGCGCTGCGCGATCTCGGCTGCAATGTGCAGCTGCGCGAGGAATGGACCGGCACGGCGGAAAAGAAAATTGCCGCATAAACGGCGACGTGGACCATACATTTTTACTTTTGTATTCACTGCTAACTTATTTCCATACACACACAAACACACAAACTAATGCAACGGCACAATATTCGGAAGCTCACACAAGGTTCTCATCTATAAATTCATCTATATATTATGCTAACAAACTATAATTCGAAACTGAGGCAGTCTTGGCTTATAACAACAATTCGCACTGGCTACTTGGTTAGCTTAATGTTGCGCAGCGTGCCCGCTTTGAGCCGAATATTAACTGTCCTAGACATCGATGGCTGACTGTTCGCTGGTCTAGCTGATGCTGCCTGCTGCTCCTCCTCCACTGCACGCTGCGCAAATGGATCTATCTTCTCCGAACCGCCCATGCCATTGAACGCAAAATTGGCGCTCATTGGGGCAGCCGAATTGGAGCCGCCCAGCAGCAGACGTGGCTTCTTGAAAATTGAGTACTGCAGGCGAATAGAAGATGCCAATCAGTGAGTAGAACACAATTATATCTATATGCACTTGTATTACCTTTTCGCTAAGATCACTGTGGGTTTTGCGTATAACGCCTGTTGCCATGCTTATGCCAGCGCCGCTTTTAATGGGCGATATTTTGGTTATGCCCATATCTGGCGGTTTTAGCAGATGTGCCAAGCCCACGCTGCTAGACTTGATGTTCAGGTAGGGTGATGTAGATTCTTCTATGCGCTTTATGTTCTGTTTCTGTAATATGCAAACGTAGTTGCAGTGTGCATATATTGTATTTTCTATTACTTTACATACGGTTGTTGGCGAGATGGTGCTGCGTCGCTCCTCGCGCTTCAGTGCCACAATGTTGGTGTTCAGGCCCAACGAGTTGCTGGATGCGTCCAAGTCAATTGGCTGACTTTGCAGGGATTTAAGCTGTTTGGAATGTAGTCGCAACATTTAGGTAGTTTCTTGTACATTTTGCACGTTGGCTAGCTTACCTTCTCTTGCGTGCGGTAGAGATCGCTCTCCAGATGTGATATTTTCTCCTCCAGGTTGCTGCAAGGGCAAAGATTAACAATTGTTGTTGTTTTTTACGATTCTACGTAGAGCTTCGATTTTCTGTCTCTCACCGCTTCGAGTCCAGCTCTCTGCGCAAATCATTCTGCACCAGCTTAAGCACATTGCGCAGCTCCGTCTTTTTGGTCTCGCACTGGCGCAGCTCACGCTTCAGCGTGGACACCCAATTGGCCAGCACATGCGGATTGGCTTCGTTCTTCAGCAGACGCTCAGCATCCGCGGCACCGGCCGACAGTATGGCTGAAACGCCTTCCATTGTGTGTATTTGTTGTTTAAGACTTTTGTTTTCCTTGCGCAGCTCATCAACGACGCGTGCATCATTTTTAAGTATACTTATTTGCTCCACATAGCCGCAGATTACGAAATCTTTCTTTTGTAGCTTCTGCTCAAGGCCGGCAATTGTTTTGCTGCAATAGAGAGGGGTTCCTTAGACATTTCATTGGGTTGGATGACATTTGAACCTACAGGCACTTTTTCTGCGTGTCCTTTAGATCTTTCATTTGCTGTTCAATTTTGTTATGTTCCTGCTCCTTCATTTTCATGGCCAGATTCGCATTGTCCAGCTGTTCCTGCAGAGAACCCACGTCGATGCGACTCACGTCCAAATTGGCCAGATTGAAGTAGACACGCCATATGTTGCGTGTGGTGCACTTGTTGCGGCACTGTGGACACGTTTTTGAACTGTAATTTGCCTTTAAAATATATATTTGTTGTTTTTAAAGACGACGCCAGCTTACCGCTCCAGCCATTGCATGAGGCAGTTGTGATGAAACATGTGTCCGCAGGTGGTAACGTAAACATCATCCGAATGGCTAAACAGTTCGGCGCATATAACACAATTTAAATTCAACATGCTTAAGAAACAAACTACATGTGATAACAAAAAATATGTGAATAACCAAGAACCTAATACACAGCTTGTTAAAGGTTTTCGCGCGGCTTTATCAAAAATCAGCTGTTGCGTGCAGCCAACTTCAAGTCAGCTCAAATTTGCGCACAGCCAACTTCAAGTGAGCTCATATTTTCGCGCAGCCAACTTTATGGGGGTCGAGCAAGGTCAAGACAATTCAAAGCCTGCTTTTAGGCATAAGGCCACACTTTTGGGTTTGTGTCTTGGCTGGCGTGTCCGTTACGCAGATTTAAAAACAATTTAAAATTTGTTGCATGAAAGTTCAATTTTTATTTTAATTTGCAGCCAATGAAATTTACAGTAATTTTAGTATAGTATTTGTTGCTTATTTTTGTTGCAGTTTAAAGTTAGATATATTTGTTATGTATACCAGGCAATAATTCCTACCAAATGCGCGCCAATTTGTTTAATAACCAAATTATGTAAACAAAATAAGGAAAATTATCGATTTTACTCTATGCAATTTTGTAATAAGTGTAGGTGTTACGAATTATTACTTGATATAGAACAATTAATGTCACCTTTAAACTGCATAACTATTGATAGTTTTTCTTGGGTTTATTTTGTTATTGATATCTAGTTTAGTTAGACATAGATCGGTAAATTCTTAAAAAGCTATTTAAAGATTTCCTTTTGATTTTATTTGTTTTCTTTTTTTTTTTTTTTTTTAAATAGTTTGTTTATTAGTTAGGGTAGTAAAACATTTGATTTCAATTGTGATATTGTTTTTATGTTCACTTAACTCGAGCTTTTTAACTAGCATAGGTTTTAAGTATATTGAGTTTTTACTTGAAGTTTGTTATTTAGTTTAATTTTTTTTATTTATTTTTTTTTAATTACGTTTTACCCATTTTTCCCGAAAGTAGTTTGCTTTTCAATAATACACGTGGCTTGTTGCTGACTTTTTACATACATTTACCACAATTTGTTGCACCCTTAAGCAATTAATTGTTAATTATTCATTTAATTTATTTAATATGTCATATTCAAAGAAATCCATGACATTTGCTACCAGCTTGCTTGGCATTAAAAATACAACAGTTGTTGTATTTTCTCTTGTTTGTTTTTTGTTTTTTTTTTTACATGTAATTTAACTAGAATTTGCTTTAACAATAGGTTTAAATTGCATTTAAACATTTACATTTACAATTAAATTATTTATATGCATTATACAATGGGCTATTATGCTAATAGCCATACAATAGTTAACAAATGTTTTAGTTTTTACTTAAATTCTAATTGATTTTATACACACTTAACATAACTCTCTAGTGGGCTTTGCTATATCGTATATATACATATAGATATAGATTCAGTATGCTCGGGTTCAGTTATAACGATTCCAAAATGCCCTATGCCAAGCTTTATTAACCATATTTTTAGCATATTTCAATTTATTTATTTAGTTCTAAAATGTACACGAATCGAAAGTTATTTCCATAGTTTTTTTTTCGGAAGTTAATTTCGTTAGAAATTGTTTTGTTGCTTATTTGCTAAATATAATTATAGTTATTCATTAACTAATTCATAACAATTTCGTATTTTGATTACACAGTTTGTTCAACTTTCCTTTTTTCTTGAACACAAGCCAAAGTAAAAAAAAAACAGTTTCCAACAATATATTGGCCTAATTACAATCTTAATTCTTTGTTCCTTAAAGGTCTTAATTATTTGCATAATTTAACTTTGAATTTTAAACACATTTAGCTCAACTTATTTACACTTACATTGTATTTAGATTTATTTATATATTTTGTATTTATATTTATTTATTTAAAAGTAATCTGGTTCGCTGCCTTCCAGCTATTATATCATTCTTGGTATACATTCTTCTTGTGAGTGGTGGTGTTCTACGTCTTCTTCTTATTCTTCTCTTTCTTCATATCCATCTTCTTGTATTCTCTTTCTTCTTTTTTTTGAACGAAGAGGCAAATTTTCTCGTCATCTTAGCAGAAACGCCTGAAAAATAGTTGTTGGTTGCACAAATCTCATTAGTTAGAAATTAATACTCTTCTTATTATAGGCTATTATAATTTTGTGATGAATTATGTAACGCTTGGAAGTATGTGTATAAATATTCTATATATCTATAAATATATTCGGTATATATATTCTTTACATAAGTTCTACATATTCTTCATTAGAAGACAAGTCCATACACCCAAAGCAAGGCTCTCAGTCGTAAAGTTTTTCATAATAATCTTTGCATAGATCGCGTTTCTTTCCATTGCAGGCAGTACAAAGGTCGGTATAGGCCGGATCGAACAACTATATCATATAGTTGTTACAGGAAAAATACATTATTTTGTATTTCAAATAATCTTAAACAAATTTGGCTTATAACCAAAATCTTAATAGCATCGAATTGATACATTGATAAGAGGAAAAATCGGTTGTAAAATATATATTGATATGGAAAAGTTTAAACAAGTAAGAGGTTCTAGTCGGGAGCTCCCAACTAGGGGATACCCTGAACCCTCTTCTTCCAACATCAAATGCATATATATATTCTATTTTAGAAGCTATATGTCAAGTTTGGTGACTCTAGCTCTTAATATTTACCAAAATTGCCCAAAAAACAAAAAACAACTCGATCTGTGCAGGCACTAGGAGCACCTACATCTAGAATTTCTCTCTAGCTCTTATAGGTTCTGAGATCCTTGCGTTCATACATACGAACAGACGGACAGACAAACAGACGGACTAGCTAGATCGCCTCGGCTATTGGTGCTGATCAAGAATATATATACTTTATCGGGTCGGAGATGCTTCATTCTGTTACATACATTTGGATTTTGCACAAATACAATATACCTTTACACCCATTTTTAATTGGTTCAGGGTATAAAAATCTTTTGAGATTATCTGCAAAACCATAATAAAAATTTCTAAAAAGTGTATTCAATCTTCGGCATGCCCAAGCTTCTACTTAGCTCTATCCTTTTATTCGGGCATTCAAAACTTCCGCTAATGCAAAACAGAAATTTCTGCAAATTAATGTTACTTAATTAAACTTTTTGGCAAACGCGCGAATGGAACAGCCTTAACTGCTGCCACGGGCAGCTGCCTCGAAGCTGGCCGACTGCTGAAATGCAAATGGTTAACTCTAGCACAAGGTCTGGCCTGACCGGGCGGGTGGCTGGCACGCTTTGAAGATAAGCCTATGCCGATGTGCGGCATAATTCGAATGGCCCTTTCGGCGCCCCATTAGACGTTATCCGTTATCCGCAATGCAATGGCCAACTGATTTTAAACGGTTTTCGCATGCAGATGACAGCACTGATAAGGGGGGGAGTGGGTTGTGTGGGCTGATAAAACTTTCACAATGACCCACAGAATTTTGAGTGGAATGCGACGAAACTTTGCCCGTGTTTCATGGCTAACAAATTGTTTCAAGCGGTGCAAGCCATAGAAAACTGGCAACAAAGCGTTGCCAATTCGAAGCTGCGAGTGTCTGTATGTGTGTGCGTGTGTGTGTGCGAGTGTCTGTATGTGTGTGTGCCAGCGGCTGTTTCCCATGGCCAGCGTGTCGTGTGTTTTGTGAAATTGGGCGCCCAAAGCGAAGACGACGACGTTGACAACGAAATTCAAAACACTTTGAACACTGCAGCAGCAGCAACAGCAACTACTGCAGCAGCAGCAACAGCAATAGCTGCAGCAGCAGCAACTACTTCAGCAACTGCTCAAACAAATGCTAAGCAATATCAATTTCGGTATGGAGCATTGCAAATTGAAACTTGTGAGCGCGAAATTGAAAAAAATATATTAAAGAAAAATAACTGCAAGAGATGGAAAGAAATTGCAATTGCAATTGCAATTGCATTTGCAATTGCCAAAGCGGCATCAATTTCCCTTAGCTTGTTCAATAATAATTTGCAGTTAAATACAAATGTTTTTCCCCTTTACATAATACATTTTCACACACACGCACACACTTACCTTCGCCTCTTCGCATGCACTATCTAGAGTTTCCCGCTGCGATAATGCACCGGTCGGTGGCCGCCAAAGAGTATGCGCTTGAAGGCCTGTCGGAACTCGGGGCTGAATATCGTATAGATGACCTGTAATTACAAAGAAGTTTATCGTAAGTTTCCCCATTCAAAACATAAGCATAGTCGAGAGCTTATATTAAAATAATTAAATTATACAAATACAAAAGCTATTTAGTTTATGACAAATGAATTTGGATTGAATTCGTTTTTTGCCGAAAACTATCAGAAACTATCAGAAAGAAAAGCTAGATTCGCAGCACTGTTAAGCATGCAACTGCATAAAGAGCGGGTGCGAAACTTGCATTTTAAATTTGTTAAAAAATATTTTTAATTTAAATAGCTCGTTTTATAGATAAATTCAATAATTATATGCTTCGAATTAGCAAAGCTGGAGCTGACAAAAAAAAAATAGCTAGATTTTCGTATTTTACACTTCAAAATTGTCAGAACAAAAATCCAACTCTTTACTTAAAGCTAAAACTTTAGTGAATTAAGCTAAACTGTTTATACTCTCAAGCTGTAAGGTCTGCAAAATTATACATTTGCGACCCTTGCACTTTAGTGAAAGCTTAGAATTCAGCTAAATTGGCAGCACTGTTGTCTGTTAGAAATAACAGAATTTCGCACTAAAAAAAAGCCAAAACTGTACGAAAAAGGCCAAATAGCTAAACTATTGAAAACTGTTAAGCCTTAAGGCCTGAAACCATATTATATTATCGCTCTTTGTACTTTTCAAAAAGCCAAAACTTAAATGCAAACAGCTAAATTGACGAATCTGTTAAGCAGTGTGGCTTGAAATGAGCTTAAAAAAAACTAAAACTTGCGCCATTAACAACACTGTCAAGTAGTGTAGTGCTGACTGTAAAATGTAAATTGGACGAAGCTTGCGTATAAAACATAAATTTGACAAGTATAAATAGGCGGACTATCGATATGCAAGTTGGCTTCGATAATGCCGATAAACGAGACAAGTTTTACAACAATCTGGCAACTCTGACACTGCTCGATAGCTCTCTTTCAAATAGACAAGCTCAAGCTAGGAGCTGACAACGCGCACAGAAAATAATACAGAAACTGCGAGTAAGTTGCAATAGATGAAATGAAAGTAAATTTAATAAATGAACACAAATAAATCATAATTTAGCATTATGAGCGCCGCAGATAACAATGAGAAGCCAACAACCAGCAACGCAGCCGCAGCTTCAGCCACGGGCGCTGGCATGGATCGTAAGCGCTTCAATGTCAAGAAATGGAACGGGGTCGCACTATGGTCCTGGGACATTGTCGTTGACAACTGCGCCATTTGTCGCAATCACATTATGGATCCGTGCATCCAGTGCCAGGCGAATCAGTCGAGCAACAGCGGCATCGAGTGCACCGTCGCCTGGGGCTCCTGCAATCATGCCTTCCACTTCCACTGCATATCGCATTGGCTGAAGACACGTCCCGTCTGTCCGCTGGACAATCTCGAGTGGAACTTTGAGAAATATGGTCGCTAGTGTGCTTTGTAATGTGCCCCCAAATGAGTGAAATGATAATATAAGTGTATATATCTTACCGGATTTAGCGTGGAATTAAAGTAGCCCAGCCAGAGGAAGAGGGAGGCGACGCTGTCGCTGATTTGGCAGGCGGCACAGAGCGGCATCGTCAGTGCCATCACAAAAAATGGCAGCCAGCAGACGACAAAGGCGCCGGTGATGATGGCCAATGTTTTGGCCGCTTTCCTTTCCCGTTTCGCCTCCAGCGTCTCCTTGCGCTTGTTTACCTTCTGCATGGGATTTGCTATGCTGGACAACTGCTGCTGCTGCTGCGGCGGCGGCGCAGGGTGTGGATGATGTCCCGGCTGATGATGATGCTGCTGCTGCTGCTGCTGCTGTTTGGTGCGCGGTTCGGGTGTTACCGCACCGGAGGCATTTGCCGAATTGCTGCACAACGGATGCGCCTGGTTACAGCTAGTCAATGTGCTCGTCTTTGCTGTCATCGGTCCGGCGGCGGCGGCAACCCCTTGCGTTGCAATGGCTGGCGATGTTGGTGTTTGCGGCGATATTGCTGATATCGATGTAATTGTTGTGGCATTCGATGTGCTGGCGCCAGCGCCTCCGCCGCCACCGCCGCCGCTGCTGCCACCAATTTGAACAGTTTTTTGTAGCTGCTGCATTTGTTCCAACTGCTGTTGCAGCTGCGGATCCTCGAGCACTTCAACAGCGGCGCCACCATTTCCATTGGCCTTGCCCAGCGGCGTTGTTGCTGCTGCTGATGTTGCGGTTGCGGTTGCCACTGCCTCATCCCCATCCTCCTCCCGCTGCTGCTCATTCTGCTGCTGCTCATTGTTATGCTCCTGCTCCGCCTCGCTGTCCGCTTCCGTTACATTTGCTGGCTGAGCTCCAGCTGCTGCTGCTGCTGGTGCTTTCTGTTGCTTGGCGCTGCTGCTGCTGCTGCTGGCGTGCTGCTGATTGGCCAGCGCCACCAGGTGCGAGACGGTGGCTATTTGGTTGCCCGATGTGCTGGGCACCTGAAAATAAGAGCATGTTTCATTCGGTTAGTGTCTGCCAATTGGTTTTGAACCACTTCGAGGTGGGCATTCCTATTTATTCGTTGACTAGAATCAAACAAACCAAGTCAATTGCCCCACAAATCGTGAAATCGACCCAAACCTTCAAAGGGGGTTTGTTAAAAGTTACCCAAAGCACAAAAACCTTTTGGAATAACTTGTATCTATCTTACCATACTTTGCAGCTGCCAATTTCAGTTGGAGTTCAAATTAAGTCCGCAAATTTTATGTGAAAATAAATATCTTAACAATGTTTTTAGTTAAGCGCGCAATTTCAAATCAAAACATTCGAACACCCTTGTAGAGGGTATTAGTAATGTGTAAAGCATAGAAGACTTATTCATGGGAAACTTTTCTAACCACATATTGTATATATATATATATATATATATATATATATATATATATATATATATATATATATATATATATATATATATATATATATATATATATATATATATATATATATATATATACTTATCGGCATCAACAGTCGAGTTGATATAATCATATAATCAATCGTCTTTCCGTTGCAAACTGTTCGTATGTTGAAATTGGCCTAACCTTATTAATATCATACTTCCATATTATAAAGCTCTATACGAGTGAAATAAGTTGTCCTATAGAAAACTATTCTGTTTATCAGCATCATTATTCTCACATTATATTTAATCTTCGGTGTGTGGAATAAAGCCGTAATTTCTCGCTTTGTCAAATATTCAAATCAAAGGCGGGCTTCAAGAATGCGCAAAAGGCATTGAATTGGTTCGCAGCGTGCATCGATCCAGTTATTTCTTTTTTGTGGCTTGCTGTTCTGCTTAGCAGTCAATTTCATTTTCCAAATTAGCATTTCAAATCTGTGCTCGGCACACACACACACACATAAATCACAAACTCGAATTGCATTCATAAATTTATTTAGTGCTGTATACCCTACCCCTTCTGCTCCCCCACCTCAGACCCACACAACGTGCCCCCGCCACGCCCACTGGCTCGTCAATTTTCATGGGCTTTTTATGCCACACAGTTGTGTGGTTATAAATTTTCCAAATAAATAAAATTGCTGGGCAAATATTTATTTACGTTAAGCTCGTTGCGCCGCAACCCCCCGCCAAGGCTCAGTTTTGGCCACGCCCATGCTATTAACCCACTATCCAGCAGGCGGCAGGCAGGCAGTCGTTGGCTGGCGGCACTTGGTCAAAAAGGGCTACAACAATTTGTCGAGACTTGAGCAGAGGCTGCTAACGGCATGTCCTAGGCACTAAAATTCATATAATCACCTGTAATTTGAGCCAGCAGTGTCCATGTCCATGGCCACATTATGTGCAGAAGCGTAAAGTGCTAAAATCAACTTTTATGTGTTATAAATTTCGTCTACCCCGCCTCGCTCTATACGAAGGACGTACGAGTAACTGCACAGGTGGCGCGCGCGTTTCTTTTGCTAGAGATGGGACGAGCAACGATGCGTGTTGCGATATCGGTTGCGTGTTGATAACTAATTCAACAGTTCGATAACTGATCGATTAGTATTGACAATTTTAAATGATCTTAAAGAAATGTGCTTATACTGGTAAAGATTTGATCACAAAGTGAGTTTTGCTCAGACTTAAGATAAAGTTTCCTCATATCAGAAAGTTTATATCACAAGCCGATAACTTATGTGCTCGATTTTTATCGAAGTGAAAATTTGCTGTGTAAAGCTTCTTTCTTTCAGTTTATTACTGCTCGTTGAGTATCGAAAGGGAAAATTTGCAATTATCCTTATGAAATGTGCTTAGCTTTTAAATAAAGCTGTCGAAGAAATGTACGCAGATCCTTGGTAAAGTAAGCTTATATAAGGAAGTTTAATGCAAAATTCCAAAAGCTCTCAATTCTCAATTTCGCAAGGAGAAACTTCACAATATTCATTTTATTGCTGTGTTAAATGCATATCTATATGCTGGGCGAAGATAGGTTATAAATATTTGCAAGATTTTAGCCGATAACTTCTAATGATAGCTTAATGCCGAATATCTTAAATATTCTTCAAAGCCAGAATCTGTTTAAAGATTCTTTAAGGTTGTTAGCTAAATCATTTCCTAGTAGTATTTCAATGTCCGACTAAACCAAACATGGATTTCGCCGAATTCACTGGTTTAAAAGGCTTAAAATATGTGTCCCTCTTTTCTTTGTAATAAGAGGAAGCTTGTGAAGCCCGGAAACTCGCACAGATATCTCTCGTCTCTAATTTCGACTTGGTCTCTTTTTGGGAGCCTGCAGACAATTAATGGGCCGCACGGATACGGCGCCAAATGAATTTTATGACTTTGATTCCATAATATATTGCTGGTTGTTATAAGCGTGTAATTGATGCGGTGCCTTTTTCAAGCGCAAAACAACAGCAACAACATCAGAAAAAACATTCAAATTTGTGGCGCAACATGAGAAATGCATTTTCAATTTGCCAACAATGAAGAGAGAGCGAGAGAGACAGAGAGAGAGAAAGAGAGGGAAACACACTGGCCATGTCAGTAAAGAGATATACGTATAAAATTCAATGGCCATTGGCCAAATTGTACATTTTCACACAAAGGAAGCGAGAAGCAGCATATGTAACCTAAGCTATGGCCATTGTCATTGGCAATTGTCCGTTGTGTGCGTTGTCGGACGGAGCACAAACAAATGTTGCAGCAGAGCTCGATTTCGTTTTGGTTTCATTTCGATTCGATACGATTTCTTCTTTGACTGTGAACAGAAGCATTTTTAATGTTGCCGCACGTAAAGCAAATCAAAGCAACTGCAAAACGGGCGGCAAATCCAAATGCGAAACGTATTTTCACATTTACAGTCCGCAACAATGCGAATAATGAGGGCGCGTTCCATTGGCTTCGACCACGTTGTGACATGGGGGCATGGGGCATGTTAAATATGACAACAGTTGGGGAACAGTTGAAAAGTTGCTGCTAAAACTCGAAGATTACGCATACGCCGCATGGGTCAGCTGCAAGTTTTTGCCCGGCAACTTTTAATTTGAAATAGACTGCTGCGTGAACGGGTGGGTGGGGCATTGCGAACACGCCAAAAACCAGAAGCCAGAAACCAAAAGCCCTAAACCAAAAACAAACTCAACTATAAGCCGAAGAAGTGAGCCAAAGTGTAACAAATACACCACACACACGCCCAGCTAATATTTTATTTATGTGCATTGACCACCCCTACTTCTCCAGCGCACACTTTGACTTACTTGCCGCAGCCTTCTCCCTACTTGGCTTGCATTTAAGTGAAGTGTATATTTGTTTCAATTAATTTTGCAGGCACCACTTGCGCCTGCATTGACTTATTGTTTTTGTTTCCAATTTGTTTCAGTGAGTGTATTTTTAATAGCCGCGTGCAGGGCTTATTAGCTTTGCCAGGCGCTTTGCGGGCTTTTGCAAGGGCTTAAGCATTTTCTAAAACTAAAAGCGTAAATGATACATCATGTTTGAGCTCTAAAACTATTTCACAATACAATATTGCAAGTAGATATTTACAATTGACAACTTTATAGTTAACTGACACTTGTTGAGAACTGAACAAGAGTAGAAGAGCTAGAAGCCAGTGTTGTGTAGTAAACACAAGTAGTTTGCTTTCAAAAGCACACGAGAGCCTTCAATGAGCTTCAGTGTTTGCATAACAAGCTTCAAAAATACTTTGGAGTATTTATTAAAAGCGTTTTTATTTACAAAGGAACTTTGATTAAGGCTAAAGCTTAAAGCTACTCATATTAATGAGTTTAACTAAGTACTTAACACTGCTTTAGTCCTACAAACAAATATAATTTCTTTTTAATTTTTTTAAAACTTTCAACACTCACTTTTATTGTCAAATTCGGACTTCTCGTCGCCGTTTCAGCTGGTGTCATTTTGAAGAACTACGAATTGCAATTATTTCTTTAATTTTAAATGCAGTCTGGTTTTTGATTCGTGTTCAATTAAATGCATTCCCAGTTGTATTAAAATGCAATTTGTTTTTGATAAATTGCCGTTTTATCGTCTTGGGCTTTTTGAGTATTCATGTATGTATATATATATATATATATTTATATATATATATACATATATATATATATAAGCTGCGGTGCAGCACAGTTTTGTGCTAACGAGCTCCTTTAGTTTTGATACCGTGTGCTTTAAAGGGTGTTATAAGGGTATATTGTTGCTGTAAAGAAATGTATGCCTGTCAAAGCAGCAGAAAGCACCTACGTCCGCATAAAGCAGATATAGTCATCGATTTAGGTCTATTCAACTTTCTGTCCATCTGATCTCGTTCATCTAGGAAACTAGTAAGATTGGAATTTGACGTATATTTGTCGTATACCATACGCAAAATGAGTTTCTCAATTTAAATCGATATTTTCTCCTCTTCTCTCTGTAGAATCGATTAATATCGATATTTTAAAATAACTTAATAAGCCAAACCTGTTTCTTATAGACCCTATCTTTCGTATCTCCCTTGTCCATCGTATCTCTCGTATCTCGTATTTCTCGTACATCTTGGATTGTGTCTTCCGTGTGTATCGTATCTCTCGTATGTATCGTATCCCTCGTATCTTGCGTATCTCGCGTATCTATCGTATCTCGAATCTTTTGTATCTTATGGGCAATGTGAAAGAAAAAGCACAGCCTTGTTTGCATTTTGTGTGTGTGTGCGTGTGTATTTATGTGTATCTATGTACAACAGAATGCAAGAATGTTTTTATCGCCAGCTCAACATTTCTTTCAGGGTATTTAATTGTCGGGCATGCTCGACTAAAGAAGTGCTGCTTTTTCTGTATATTTTTATATTTTTATTTTTGTTGTTGCTGTTTTGTTTGTTTTAGCTCATGCGTTTGGCTCTTGCCTATATATTAAGCAAAACTACTATGATAAATTTATATATTTGCTTGTGGCTAAGCTTGTGTGTGGTGTGTGTGTTTATTTATTTGGCTGTCCACTTATTTGGCGCACACACTGAGGAGCCTGGCCCAAGTAAATATTTAATCTGCGTGCGTGTGTGTGTGCGTGTTTGCTGGCCAGCAAAGGCAAATACGAGACGCAGTTGGTTTCTCTCAGTTATTAGGGGCAAACGAATGGAAACGAAAGCTGTTAGCCATAAGCCATCAACATATTTTCTTCAATTACTCAAGCGTATTGAGTGCCTTGTTAGGCCACGTTTTCAGCTCCTGTTGCTGTTGCTGCTGCAGAGCTTTGTTTTCATTTGACTGAAACTGAGATGCTTTGCATGGTGCTGGCTGGTGCTGGCGACTCGGACTCAGACTCCGTCGTATCCTTGTCACAGAGCTTACATTTGACTTAGCTATTACTTAACCTGCACAAATCGTTGCGACCTTTGGCCGCTCGACTTTTGGCCACCTTGTGGCGATGCCAAACCAAACGTTCAAGCAATTTATTTTGGCTTGACTCTTTTATGGTTTCGTATTGCTTCGATTTTCGTGCCTTTTCCTTTATGCGTTATTATTGAATGTGTGTGTGCGCTTCTCGCTGCTTATTTTTTAGCCATAAAAAAATAAGCTAAATTGAAGTACATAAAAACTGCCTGCTAAATACAAATTTGGGCTGCCAATAAACACACAACAAAAAAAAAAAAAACAAGCTTTTCGGCCTGCATTTTATCGCCCACATTTGTGTCGTGTGTGGGTAATTTGCAGGCTTTGGACTTAGATGCCGGCTTGTATATGCTTATGGCGTATTAATAAACACAATCTATATGCATTTTGGGCTGCAATAAAAACCCAAATGCGCTTGTCTTTCTTTCTTTTTTCTGTTTGTTGTAATTTTTGGGCTGTTGAAACACGCGGCGTATACGTGACAACCTTTATGATATTAAAAGAAATCGATTTATGCGTGCATAAATCAAATGTCTGTCGTCGAACTTGATGTTTAGCTAACGACATGTGAAAGTTTCTATTTGGGACTTAACGGGGATTACGCGCACAGGACGTGGACTGGACAAGGACTTTATTTCATTGGCTCACTGCGTGCACTCAGGAAGCAAACTCAGATCGTTGGGCACATGTCAGGCGTTATGAAATTTGCTTTCAATGCGCACAGCGCCCCCAAATCCCAAACCCAAAAACCAATTCGAAAATCCAAAATCCCTGCTCCCGTTGTTGTTCTTGTTGTTGTTGTTGTTGCTGGGCACTTACCTCGATGCCGGCGCGACTCTTGCTGTCCACATTCGAGCTACTGAATTCGGTATCCTCCACCGTGTTCACCGTGTTCGTGGAGTTGCCCTCAACCAGGCCAAGGGCTGTAGAGCTGGCCGCTGCACCGCTCTTATTCTTGGCCGTTGAGAATCTGCCAAGACGTTGCCGCAGACGATTAAGTTTAGTATCTGTTGTGGTGCTGGTCGCTGGCTGAAAAATGAAATGGAGAGCAGGATAAAGGGTTGCTTTTAGCTTGAGCTGCATCGATTTTGGGTAACGAAATTAAATTCATAGTTTCTTTTTTATTTATTTTTTTTTTGCACAGCATTAAAATGTATAACAAGAGCTGCAAATTTGTATTTTTGTTGTTGTTGGTGTTGCGCCTCACGCTTCAATAAACCGCAATTTGTACGCATCTCAGAGTCTGAGCTGAGCCCAAGCTGATCCCGTGCGTTGCCTTTACCATATGCATATGTAAGTGGATACGTTCGTAAATAAATTGTGTATATTTGTTAAAGTCACGCCACACAGTTGCACGGCTCCACAGTGCCACAGTGCCGGAGTGGCACTTCCATATACCCAAAATATTCCGCCACCCAAAAGCAGCTACAGTGCCTGCTCAAAATAAATTTCACGCTTGACTGCTTCAAGCGCTTGACCTCTTTGATTTTTTTTTGGATTTTCTTATGGTTGCATCCTTTTCTCTTTATTTTCTGCCTCTTAGCCGCCCCCGCAATTTAGTTGTTGTCGTCGCCTTCAATCCCCACCAAATTAAAGTAATTGAGTAGTCAAACCTTTTGCCTCATCGTCAACGCTCTCGTCATTGCCATGTTGACCCTTTGGCAAGTCGATATTGCTTTAAATAAATAAAATTATGCTGATTTTGCGTTCGTGTGCGGAAATTTGTCCAGAAAAAGCAACAAAAAAAAAATGAAAGAAAGCCCCGCCAAGAAGAAGCGACAGCAGATGAGAAAAAAGGGCTTGAATTGTTTGTGTGCCTGGTCATGCCCTCTGCCTCATGCCCAATCAGTCCCACTTCAGCACTCCCAAATGGCGTGAATATTTGCGCAAATAGTATTAAATGGATTTGCAGCTACGCATGTGACCTTCATTTTGTGGGCAGGACAAGAAGTGTAATTGCTTCGTCGCATGCCAAGCCCAAAGTGCTACGTTTCAAGTGCCCACCTAAAAGGGACGGTATGCCGAGAAGAGGAAGAGCGTCAAGGGTCAGCTTATTAAATATTTAAAGCCAGATGCTTAATTAGACAGCTTTTCAGGTGCAACCTAATCCGCCGGGAGCTGACGGCTCTTTATTGACGTTGGCTTTTGTTAGTTATTAGATAATCAACATTTTTAGTTACTTGTCAAAAATCTTTTTGTGCTTGCCGCTAGAGCTGTACGAGTATCGTGTTCTTTTCGTGTGACGTGCACGATTCGTGCTCGTGCTTAGAAATCAGACATCATAAGGCCTTGTGCGTGTTGGGAAAGTACTTCACAAAAGTTTGATCTAACGCACGGTAACATGGCTTGACACAATTAAAGGTGACTAGACACGTTTTCCGATTATTTTAAAACATTTTGACACGATATGATACTATCTGATACGACCTGACACTACTTGACACGTCATGGCACAATTTGACACGACTAAAAACGCATGAGCTCGACTTAACACGACCGTCCACGACTTTAACACGACTTTGACGCGACAAACACGGCTTTTATACAACTTTACACGATTTGACACGACTTGCAGCGAATCAACACGACTAGCCACTATTCAAAATAACTGATAATGGCTTCGTATAATCATAAAAGGACATTAAAGGACTAATCTCCACATAAAGCGATTCGATATGAGTTATTCCAGCTTTAAACGAATTGGCACGACGTGGCACGACGTGACACGACTTAATATGAAGTAAGACGACTTAAGACGATTGGAGACGACCGAACAGTGAAATGACACGATTTTCACACTATATAGAATAACTTAACATGGCTTCGAATGATTTAATACGACGACTAATCCCGACCTTAACTGATTAGACATTACTTAACAACATTTTAAAAAGAATTGACACGTCTTGACACGATGCTAGTCGACTTAACACGAGCAGATACGACCGAACACAACATAACACGACCAATAAAGAGCTCATGACACAACAGAATTAACTACAAACTAACGGTGAAAATGAAGACATTGATATTAAATATGTTATACATATATACGATAAAGTGGAAAAATTACAAGAATAACAATAATTTTCTGTTGCAAAAGTTTGATAGCCGTCAATCTCTAGTCGAATAGCTGCTACTTGGCACATAAAAGTAAGCTCTTGATATTTTAGTTCTAAATCCATATTAGATTGTTGTTTCCCCAACATTGCCAAGGCAAACTTCATCAGTTTTGGCCCTGGGCTCAACAATTGGGGGGCCAACATAAATGCGCAAATCCGTTAACTTTTCGCATTTTCACGTAACAATTTGCCGCAGCAAACTGTAATAACTGTAATAATCGCATTTGTACGCAATACGCTAATTGAATTTGCGTTCTGTTTCGCATGCTTGAGATTTCGTATACGTAGCGTTGGCGTTGGGCTTGATGCCATGCGGGCAATCAATGCGTAATTGAATCGCTGATAACTTCAAAGATACTTACGTATACACATACACACACACACACACACACGCATTGTTTGCCAGTTGGTGTGCCATAAAATTGCTGCGCTAAACAATTGGCGAAAAAGTTTTTCGTGTTGCTTGCGCGCTTAGTCATAAATACCATGGATTCCCCTTTGGCATTTGCTTAGATCGGAAACTAAACAACACGGCACATTAACGTTATTTAAATACTAAAGTAAACGCTCACACACACACGCACATACAAGCACACTGACATGCGTTTAGATAAGCTGGTCTGTATTCCCTGTGTAGTAAAGTATAGCATACTTTTCAGCAGCCTCGATGAGGAGCAAAACCCAGCTCAATGTGTATTTTATGTAGATGTGCCTGTCAGCTGTCGTTATGTATATACACACTCCTTAGTCTGTGTGTGTGTATGTGCGTGTGTGTGCACATTTATTTAAGCGTTTGCATAAACGATACTTGGCCGAAGCCATTTTGCCACTTTGGCTAATTTATGTAAATTGTTTTCTTATTTAATTGTTTTTCTTGCGAGACATTCATATCACTGTGTGTGTCCTTGTCTTTGTCTATATGTGTGTACGTGTGTGTATCCAATAATTTCCTTACATGCGATTTATGCTGCCCTAAATGTTGCTCAAGAGCCAGACAAAAAATTGTTGGCTATGAACTACACTGTGCGACAAACGTTTGCTTTGCTTTCTTCACTTTTTTTCTATCAATTGAATCGAATTTATATTTAATAGCGACATTTTCAAGACGCATATGTTTTTTATACTTCTGATTTCAGTGCCCATGTAGCGCAGTGTACATGTGGCAGCTTTCGATAGATATACAAAAAAAGGAAGAGCAGAAGAGCGCAACACAACTTGCAGACGTGTGTGGCATATGGACGACTTGGCCGAAAAATCTGCCCGGCCTCGCTGCGCAGCCTGCTAATGTTCGTGCTGGCTGTTTGTCATATGGTCCTGGTCATAATGTCAATATCTAGAGCAATCAATTTGAGCTGCTGTCGCTGCTGTCACTTGTTGTTCTTGTTGTTGTTTGCAAATGTAATTGTGATTATGTTCGAGTGGTCAAGGCGGGCACAAACAACACACACACACACACACACACACACACACACACACACACACACACACACACACACACAATACACAAACAACGGTCGTCAGTGCTCTTGAGTGCAAAACATCTGGGCGTTGTTGTCAGCATCACTTGGTCAAGAGGACACTCAAAAGACCGATTGCTTTTTGTGTTTAATGTTACATTATTATTAATGTTTGCTGTTGTTGCTTAAGCAAGGCATGTTAGGCATGTGGCATTAGTCGCATAGCCAAATTACACATAATACCTGTGCGCTCAATTTGCTTAATTGCCTTTTACTATCATGTATTATGTTAATTACAAAATCAATGCGTACAAATTTACAGTGGGCAAGTATTGAACGTTTGCTAATCAGAAATAAATTCATTTTAAAGCGTGGTTTAAGGTTTCAGAAACATATTGAGAACTACTTTTTCAAAAGTTTATTTGTTCACTTTTTCTTGGAAAGAATATCTTGGCTCTATTTCTTTAACATACCCCAGAACACTAATTAACAGCTGTTAGCTTAACAGTTAATGTTAAGTCAACAGCTGTTTGCATTTAAGAATTTAAACAATTATTTTTATTTATTATGTGAAAAGGCATTAAAAATAGATTTGTTTTGCCACTGAAAGTCTCTATTTTGCCCATGGTGCAAAGTGCCCGATATTGTATCAGTTATGTGTGCATTTGACTACCTGTCTGACCTATGCCAGCTGCATTTCAATTAAAATTACGCACATTAATGTTAAATTATGTGCTAAGCCTCGTGTCGATATGCCACATTTTTCGAATTTTATTAGTTTATGCAGTTTAAATCATTTGCAGGCTAACAAATTTGTTAGCCATTCGCCAGTTGTTGCCAGTTAGCACTTGGAGCTTAGAATTGGCCATAAACATGTTAAATGCAAATGCAATTAACTAAAATTTATGGGCTGCCAGCGAAACAAAAATAACAACATTTTTGTACACGTTCTTGTATCCAAATATCCAAAACTTTGCTACAACAAATCTTTATTAAATACAAGAAGAAAAAAAAGAAACGAAATATTGGAACAAAGCGCGCAACGGGCGAGTTGCGGAATGCGCTGTTGTTGTTCTTGTTGTTGTCCGTTAGTATAAACCCTCGTCAAGTTGCAGGAAAGCAATTTTCAATTTAAAAGCATTTAGTTGAATAAAAAAGGAATAACAAGAGAATAGCTCGATCGCAGCAGCAAGCCGTTGTCTAAATGCTCTTTCTAAAAACAGAAAAACATTCCGAAATATTCGAAAGTGTTGAACGACACTGTTATATTTAAAAGAGCATTAAAGCTTTGAATTACTTAAAATATAGAATTTGCATAACTGAAAGCTCAATTGGAGCTTAATTAATTATACACTGTTAAAATGTGGTAAAACAGTCGCAAATGTAGACTTAATCTCAAATTTAACAGTTTAAGCTTACTCAAGACTCTATCTATCTTTTATATATTTTTAAGCTTTGTGTATTGCAAGTAAAGTTCATTTGAAACTTAAAGCTTCATAATTGCGGTTGGCAAAATAAAAAAAAGCTTTTCAAGCTCATGGATGCTTACCTTAGGATAAGTTTATTGGATTCTATAAAGTAAAGCGCAATTTCAAAAACGCTTTTAAAGTTCATGGAAGCATAGAACACATTTATTTGAATCTTTAAATAAAGCTCGATTTTAAAAAGCTTATTGAAGCTTTGCTTCAAAACAAAGATAGATTTTAAAGCGCATTAAACATTACACTAATCTTTTTCTTCTCATGCTTCTATTGCTTTATTGATTATGTTATCGTTGATTATTAATGACTAAATAACCCCATTTATTGTTAACAAACTGGTTCCATTATTCAGCAAGCTTGGGGTTAGGGAATCAAAATGCCTGCGCTGAGTGGGGTAAATATATTTTAAAATCAACAAGCAGGCCAGGCCAGTGAGTGGCACTAAATGGATGCGTGTAGCTGGCTATGGAGGTGTGTGTGTGTGTGTATGTGTATGTGTTTGTCTGCGTTGCTCTGCTGGCATTAGTATTGGCATGCGCCTGCTGACATGTAACTAACACACATACACAGGCACACAGAAGAAGCAACATGGGCCGGACATGGCTGGGACATGTGTACGCTGGCAAATAGTGGACAACTTGTCTTGTTTGCGCATTGAATTTGTGTTTGCGTTTGTGTGTATGTGTGTGTGTGTGCTGTGTGCAAAGGGTGTGGGTGTGTGTGTGGGGGTAAGAGTTAGTGTATGTGTGGAGGTAAGTGGTTGCAAACATTTCCACGTCAAATGGTCATTTTCAATTTAGTCAAAGCATTAAGCTTAAGCTAAGTAGTTGGCTCTAAGTATGTATGTGCTAGCTATAGACAAAAAAGGAGCAGAAAAACTAACCTAAAACAAAATAAAAAATGTTATAAAGAAGCTAAGGTAGTCAAAACGAGATTCAGTTGCTCTTCTTGTGCTCAATTGAGGGCTTACTAAATCATATATTAAAATATTTTGCCTGATTTTTAGAGCAGTAAACTGTGTAGAAGTAAGCATAACAGAGCTGTTAAATTAACATAAACGAGTGCAATTAATATAACAGAGCAAGAGTATGTGTAATTTAACAGTAATGGGCTTCTGCTAGCAGAGAAAACAAATTTCTATGCTACAGCTAATATTAACACTTCACTAACAGAGCTTGCTTAGCACAGTTAACGCTGTTAACTTGACTCGATTGATCACTAGCCCTGCTAATATCTTAACAGTACTCACAAACAATAATAAAATCTATGTGTCTATGTTATGTTTCGTTTATGTTAACTTGCATTTTCATTCCTTAACATATGTATATTAGTTAGCAAACCGTATGATTAATCCCATGTAATCCACAGATAGGGTATTTTTATAAAGGTCATCTGCACGCAAAGAGCATAGAAAAACGAAATTGCAATTCAGCAAGACCCACAAAAATTTATCAGTGTGTATGCACACACACCACACACACACAAACTTGTCAGGTACCACAAAAACTGCCTTGGGTTCTTGGGCTAATACTGTTCGTTAAACTTTTCACCTCAAAGCGAGTTGCCTTTTAAAGCCAGCGCAGGCGGCGAACAATATCTAAAATGCATTTTTAAACACACTTGAATGAAGTTCAAGCTGCCTAATTACATTTTAGCCCCAAGAGCTGAAGTGCGCTCGGTTGGCAAAGTCGTGAGCTTCTTGCATATGTTAAGGGCATCTTCTGCACGAGTCTTGCGCCTTGCGCCGCACTCTCTTAGCTCTCAGCTGGCTGTGGGTTGACCTTTGGGCTGGGTTCTTAGTTCAGGTCGATTTTTTGGCTCCCTTCGCGGTTAACTTCATTAGAGTGCATAATTGTAGGCTTTGGTTGCATGGCAAATTGTGCTGCGGCTTACGATGTATCTGTGGCTGCACACAGGGTGACTCACTAAGTTGTTAGCACAGCATGAGCTGCATGCCTAGGCAGTGTAACGCCCTGTATGCAAAAATATTGTTATTTCATTTCGAAATTTAAAAGTCAAAGAACTTTTATAAAAAAATTTAGCCATTTCCACTTAGAACACAGAAAAATGTTGAGAAAGAAAAGGAGCTTGAGAGCTTGAAGCGCTGGAATCATTTCTAGTCTCAGCTAAGCTATGAAAGTGCAAGGGCTAGCATATTTACCTGATTATTGTTGGCTGTCACATCGACAGGTCGTGGTCGTCGGCGATGTATGCGTTTCCGAGCCGTCTGATAGATTTTCCAGTAGAGCGCCAAGATGACCAGCAGTGGCACATAGAAAGTGCAGCAGGTGGCAAATACCTAAAAGAGAAATTCAGTTTATGAAACAATCTAAACAATAAAAGCGCCAAAACGCACCTGGTAGGCCACATCCTGTGAGACCATGCACTTCTGCTGTTCGATGCGCTGCAGATAGTCCGGATCCTTCCAGCCAAACTGTGGCGCCAATGAGACAATCACCGAGGCCGTCCACACGCAGAAGATCATCATGAAGACCCGATTGCTGGTGCGTGAATGGATGTAATCAATGTTGGTCACCGCCCAATAGCTATATAAATAGAGCAACAACAAAACATATATATATTTTTTTTATTAACAATTGCGCAACACTTGAGACATGGCGGCGTGTTATTTTTTTCTACTCTTATTTACTTTATTTGAAACGCGCACAAAATGCAAATGAAATGCTGCATAAATCTAGGCAGGCACACACACACACACACACACACACACAAACACTCAAAGACAGACTCACACACACACACAGGCACACATATGGAACAGCGTGAAAGTAAAGAAACGTGTTCGATATTCGAATTCCGTTCAACAGTTTTTTACAGCATTTTGTTACCATTTTTCTTGTGTGTCGCTGTGTGTGTGTATTTGTTTTCTTTTTTCTTCGCTTTTGGGTTTTGTGTGCCAAAACATGTTTTATGTATGTATGCAAACCGGTGTGAACGTGTGTGAGTGTGTGTGTGTGCGTGTGCGGCGGCCAAGCGAGGCATTTTTCAAATTTCCATTTCTAAAGACGAGCCTAAAAGCAACATAACTTTGCAATGTTGTTTGCCGGCGCATAGAAAACCAAAATGGAATTCCTTTGCCAGATTTGATTGCTTGAGTTAAGAGAAGAATTAATTTCATTTAAAATGGAGTGCAGCTCAGAAGCACAGCAATACTGGACTAGATTTGAATTGGGCCTAATTGGTATTAAATCGAAAAGCCTTTCTTGAGACCTCAACTCTTATCTTTCGAAATAATTAATGGGTGATAGGCAGAAATATCTTCTGCAATACCATCAATAATTCTTATCCTTTCCAAGATCTAAATCATATCTTAAACATTTTTTTCGCTTATATTCAGTATTTTATATTGCTCTCCAACTAAGAAAATATAAATAACTATTAAAATTGGGAATATTTTCATACAAATATTATAATGAGAATTTCACAAATTTAAAAAAAAGTTATTTAAAATCTTTCTATTTCCTTAAAGCTAGAAATGTGTGCTTTATATTCAAACCCATAGTTGAGCTTAAGCTCTGTTATTTTTACTTTAAGATAGTTTATATTTTAAGCCAAGTTTTTACTGAGTTAGGGTATAAAATTGTTGCTATTGCCAAAGAAAAACTATCTGCCTTAGTTTGCCCACTTGCTGTGAGTAGAGCGACATGCCTAAACGAGTTTTTAAACGTTACGTGCATGGTAACTGGCACACACACACACAGATACATGCACACACACACGTGCTAGTTTACATATACACGTAGATTGACACACAGTGTTGTGAAGCAGGCTTTAACTGTATTGGTACTTGCCGCTTGTTGCTGCTGGAAAAGCTTTAAGAATGCCAACTATTCAACTGTGTGGCATAGATAATCGCGCCCGGAGGCGGTAAGTAGAACATGTAACTCTCATGCTGTTGTGCTGATGCTGCTGCAGCAGCAGCAGCCATTAAGCAGCTTTTAGCCAGTGTTGGTTAGTGTTTTTAGCCGACCCTGCTGTCAGTTCAAAGGTTGTTAACCACAACAACCTGCGGCTGTGCGTGTGTGCCGTGTGGCTGCCAAATTAATGCCGGCAAACCACATATTTCAAAATTTGACGGCAAGCGGTACACAATTTCTTCGACTACCAACGCTGACCGCAGCGCTTAAAGTGGTAGCAGCAACAACAAGAGTCTGTTGTTGTTTATGTTTTAATTAAATACAATTTGCATATACAAATATTATGCCTTGTTGGGCCGCTGCGCAAACAAATGTGTTTGTAAGTTTAAATCAACAATTAATTGAGTTGACAAAGCACTCGAGACACTCGCGCTGCTGATAGCTGCTGTATCTATAGCTATATATTTATCTATGGCTGTGTAAATCAGCATTAACTGCTCTGCTCTGCCATGTGGAAACTTGGCTAATGGCCTCGGGTGCCATAGAACATAATTTAATTTGCATCCAATGGGGCACTTACACTCTAACGACAGCTGCATAAATATAAATATAATTATCGATATGTTGTGCATTTGTTTAAACGTGATTAAATGATACTCATTAATAACATATCCATAAGCCAACCACTTCATCAGCTAACCAAATGTAATAGTCAAGAGGTAGATAAATTGTGATGCTAAAACAAAACCCAGTTGTTGACCAGGAAAGTACTTAAATGTTTTAAAGAGACTGAAATCGGCTTAAAGCTGGCCTTGATATGATTCACATACTTTTTACAGTTGATTTATAAAATACCTCTTATTTTATATATTTTAAGAGGAAGCTGCAAATGCCTTTCTAGTTGCGTATTTGTGAAGAGAAAGATAGAGAGAGAAGAAGAGTGAGAGCAGTATAAATTTTCTGCCAAAAACCTATTAAAATTGCGTACCTAAAGTTCTCGTAGCCTTTTATTTTATATATATGGGACGTTTATATCTTGTGAGGTCAAAGACAAGCTGCTCATTAATTTTGAACCAATTGGTACCAGATTTCCCAACTGGTTTGGTTTGGCGTCAAAGTGTTCCAAGTTCTACTGTCAAATGACTAACACGTGTTCGCAGCTGCGGTCAGTTTGTCAGTTTGTTTATGAGAAATGATTGGGTATATGGAAGGCAATGTTAAGCATACGCCATGCATGCCGCATCGATAATAAACAATAATGAATGATGTTGTTAGTTGATGACTTTTGTCATCTGGACAGCTGCCATCACCTGCTGTGTCTGGGTCAGCTTGGAGTAGCAACGATAATGATGCGCCGAGCAGAGGGGGGGGGGGGGGGGGGGAGGGCCAAAGGCAACCCACCCCTCCATATCCATATCCCGCTGTCTGCTCTGATTTTCATTAGCATAATATAATCGACTTCAAGTTGGCAATTTTTGATTGACTGCTTAAAATTAATGGAATTTTGTGATTTTCCTGTCAATTTTTTCCATTTTTGTGAGTTGCCAATGTTATTACAATTTGCTTTTTTGCCAAATTTCTTTTTATTTTTATTTTCGGGTGTAGAGTTTAATGTGGCCCGCATTTGGAATGAGAAAAGAGGCATGCAAATTAATAGCGAAACCTAATAAAGTGCCTGTCATGCAATGTGCCTTTTCGCGATGTGATATCACTCATACGACGCGTTGTCGCATTTGAAAAAGTATCATAATTTGTTATGCCATGTTTTGCTACACACACACACACAGACACACACTCAGCGAGTATGTCGTTCATAGGCCAGCAATTCGATTCAATTCAATTGAAGTCAATCAATTTATCAAGTACGCACACTCAAACTGAAGTCGTGTGATGAATTATAACAATTTATTGTGCGCCAAACAATTTAAATGCGATTTTTCCATTATGCTCCCACTGTGTGCGTGCGTGTGTGATAAATGTGCGGCATTCGAGTGTAACACTTTTTAATGCATTTAAAAATTGCGCGCCTAGCACACAAAAAAGCCATTACTCTTGATCTCGCTTGATTACGAACGCATGTACCCCAATTCCCGCTAACACAAGCGCCACAATTTCGCCTAATTTACAGCAAAGCCAGGGGCTAAAGCTGCTTTGAGCTTGATATATGTATGTGTGTACAGATTTTATGTACATAAATCTTAAGTTCTTATATTTCTATCATGATTTGTCACTTTATGCTATTCATTTTCTTTTGGCAACTGTGCTTCATAAATTTGAATGACTTGGCGAAATTGTGTTGAAATTGCATTGGCATAAAAATGGGAAAAAAATAAATCAAATTAATTTAGTTGAACTTTTAAGCTGTTCATAATTAATTGAAATTTTATATTGTCGAGTGACGGTCAATATTTGTACAATCAATTTTTTTATTTTTAATCCCGCTGACAGCGGTTAACTGCATATTTGATGCCTGTCAACTGGTAAACACTTTTTTAACTCTATTTCATGCGCTACAGAAGGGTATAGCGATTTTGACATGCAATTTGTTATGCATTGAGTGCAGGCAGAATTTATAGACATATTTTTGACTGAAAGAGGCAATTTTGTTGTGAAGTTCGGTCGATAAAAGTTGATCAAGCTGAAAATTAGATGTATGCAAAAAAGGGTATTTAATCGACGTCACTTGAGGCCTAACTTTCCAATATGGCTTATCTCTGCCTTTTTGTATTTCAAGCTAATCGATTGTATTACGCGCTTATTGAAAATCTTCCAGCCGGCTGGGCGTATTGTTTTAATTTTCAGTTTTGAGGTAGAATGAGAACAAATATGTTATGCTTGTTACCTGCAGCTATCGGCAGCCAGTTTTCAGTTAACAATAACATTTCGTTTTTTGTTAAAAAAAAAGAAAATTTGTTAAAAAAAGCGCAGTTGAACAAAAGATTAAAATGAAAAACAAAACGTAGCATACATAAATGCATGCCACACTAGTAAAATAACAATGAGCGGAGGCCGCAACAACAACAACAACGACAACAACAACAACAACAACAACAACAACAACAACGACAACGGCAATGACAACAACAAGCAGCTAGTGCACATGTAACTGTCGGCAAGAGGCGTGGCACGGCTGAGGCTGTTTGTGTTTTGCTTGTTTGTTGTTGTTGCGCCCTGCGGCAGCTGTGGCATGATTAAATTTTTGCAAATTACAGCTTCCTCTCTGTCTCTCTCTCTCTCTCTCTCTCTGGAGACTCTCATCCCAACAATAACCACTAAATGCTGCATTGTAACAATAGAAATAGTTGAAGAAGCTCTGAGCCACAAAAAAATTAGTAAAACAATTGGCCTCTGCCCAAATCGTCGCCAGAGTAAAGAAATAAAAATCCAAAAATTGACAAACTTTGTTTTGTGGCGTATTTTCTATTTGAGTACTGTAAAAGTTTTAACTTTTTGACTATATTTATAAGTATAGGAAATTACCCGGCGCCGTTTGAATCAAATGAATTAAGCTGAACATGCAAGTTATACAGAAATTTTTGCAGGGTTTGAACCAGTGAACTCTGACTTCCACACGCATATTCTACTCTCATTCAAATAGCCTAAATATACATTGGTCCGATTTTGACGAGGCTTGCCTTTTTGTTTATTTTTTGACACCTCGGACAAAT